ATTTTCTTTATGGTTGTTTTCTTTATGTACGACCCTGTATTTGTTTCACGCGAAAATTTTTGTTATCCTGGTTATTGTATTCGGCAGTTTCCCAACTTGAATTTTAGTTTTTCTTTTTGCATCACCCTGAATTAATTTTTTTCCTCATTATATAGTAAAAAATAGGCCATACTTATTATTAGGAGTTGTATTTTTAAAATTATGATTACCTTTTTACAACACCCTGTATATTAATTTTCTTCCATGTCAGGTAACAAGTAATTACGATGTATGTTATTCACTAACACTAGATATTTCTTAAAATATTGTCGATGTTTTTGTAACACCCTGTAGAATAATTTCCCGGGATGTCACGAGAAAAGTGGTAGTGATATGTGTTCCTACTTGAACGTGAATTTTTCGTTTTAAATATTATACTTTTCAGTTTGTAACACTCTGTATAATATTTTCCCTGATATTCTGTGAAAATTTGGTAACATTTATTAGTATTATTGTGTTTTCTTATTTGAACTTGATGTACATGTAGATCCTTGTACATACCATGCTGGTAACAAGCTTTGTTTAAAAATGGCGGCAAGTTCTCTAAGTGTTATGTATTCTAATTTTAAGTTATATTCTAATAAAGAAATATTAAGAAACATTGTAACTTATAGTTACCTAGAAAACACCTAGAAAATAAGCCCTTTGCTCATTTCTTTATCCCTGTAGAATTGTAGAACATTATTATGTGGTACTTGCTTACATGTGCGTGGCTATGCACATTATTTGGTTGATTTGTCAAATCTAAACTTGTATTCTATTGTTAATAAAGAAACAGTAAGATATATTGACTTCTTTCATTTGTGTGTTCGCCTTCTATCATTTCAGGAACAGGTCTCTAAGAGAGTTCCCTCTCTCAGGGAATGATCCCCACTATAAAAATTGTCAAGGTATCCTGTATGATTTGTGTACTCGATCTTTCATTTCAGCTACAGGTCAGAACTTGTAAGAATATTTTAAAGTGTTACCTCTCTTGAGGCGACTTAAAACTTAGAAATATTTGAACAAGACCTTATAAGGATTGTCCTTATAAGGAGTTCCCTCTCTGTGGGGGTGATCCCCCACCATAAAAATTGTTGATATGTTTGGCAATAGATTTCACCACAGGAAATACGGAATTAAATTCCCGCATCAGGAAATTACCTCGAATTTACCGTGACACCGCGTTCGCGTAAGTTGTAGCAAAAACTACAATTCCTAGCGCAACGAGTACAAGTGCGTACACAACTATCATCATAACCCGCGTTACGGAATTTTGGCAATAGATTTCAATACAGGGAAATACGAATTAAATTCTGCATTAGAGGGCCTTATTTCGATTTATTATGACACCGCGTTCGCGTGTTATAGCAAAAACTATAATTCTACCGCAACGAGTACATGTGCGTATACACACAACTATCAATATAACCCGCGTTACGGAATTTTCTGGCGATACATTTCAATACTGGGAAATACGGAATTAAATTCTGCAAATAGAGGGCCTTATTTCGATTTCATTTCATGACACCGCGTTCGCGTGTTATAAAGCAAAAAACTATAATTCCCACCGCAACGAGTACATGTGCGTATACACACAACTATCAATATAACCCGCGTTACGGAATTTTCTGGCAATAGATTTTAAATACAGGAAATACGGAATTAAATTCTGCATCAGAGGGCCTTATTTCGATTTACTATGATTACCCCGCGTTCGCGTGTTATAGCAAAAAACTATAATCTACCGCAACGAGTACAAGTGCGTATACACACAACTATCAATATAACCCGCGTTACGGAATTTTCTGGCGATACATTTCAATACTGGGAAATACGGAATTAAATTCTGCATCAGAGAACCTTATTTCGATTTATTTGCGACACCGCGTTCGCGTGTTATAGCAAAACTATAATTCCTACCGCAACGAGTACATGTGCGTATACACAATAACCATCAATATAACCCGCGTTACGAATTTCGGCAAATAGATTTCAATACAGGAAATACGGAATTAAATTCCCTGCATCAGGAACATAATTTCGAATTTACTATGACTCCGCGTTCGCGTGTTATAGCAAAAAACTACACCCTAGCGCAACGAGTACAAAGTGCGTATACACACAACTATATCAATATAACCCGCGTTACGGAATTTTTTGGCAATAGATTTCAATAATACAGGAAATACGGAATTAAATTCCCCTGCATCAGGGAACATACTTCGAATTTACTGTGACACCGCGTTCGCGTGTTATAGCAAAAACTATAATTCCTACCGCAACGAGTACATGTGCGTATACACAATAACTATCAATATAACCCGCGTTACGGAATTTTTGGCACAGATTTCAATAAATACAGGAAATACGGAATTAAATTCTGCATTAGAGGGTCTTATTTCGGATTTACTATGAGACACCGCGTTCGCGTGTTATACAGCAAAAACTATAATTCCTACCGCAACGAGTACAAGTGCGTATACACACAACTATCAATATAACCCGCGTTACGGAATTTTCTGGCGATACATTTCAATACTGGGAAATACGGAATTCACCCCTGCATTAGAGTGGCCTTGTTTCGATTTACTATAACACCGCGTTCGCGTGTTATAAGCAAAAAACTATAATTCCTACCGCACGAGTACATGCGTATACACACAACTATCAATATAACCCGCGTTACGGAATTTTCTGGCGATACATTTCAATACTGGGAAATACGGAATTAAATTCTGCATCAGAAGGCCTTATTTGATTTATTTTATGACACCGTTCGCGTAATATAAAGCAAAAACTACAATTCCTACCGCAACGAGTACGCGTATATACAATAATAACTATCAATATAACCCGCGTTACGGAATTTTGGCAATAGATTTCAATACAGGAAATACGGAATTAAATTTCTGCATTAGAGGGTCTTATTTCGATTTATTTATGACTCCGCGTTCGCGTGTTATAGCAAAAAACTATAATTCCTAGCGCAACGTGTACAAGTGCGTATACACACAACTATCAATATAACCCGCGTTACGGAATTTTCTGGCGATACATTTCAATACTGGGAAATACGGAATTAAATTCTGCATCAGAGAGCATTATTTCGGATTTACTATGACTCCGCGTTCGCGTGTTATAGCAAAAAAATACAATTCCTAGCGCAACGTGTACAAGTGCGTATACACACAACTATCAATATACCAAGTGTTACGGAATTTTCTGGCGATACATTTCAATACTGGGAAATACGGAATTAAATTCTGCATCAGAGAACATAATTCGGATTTACTATGACTCCGCGTTCGCGTGTTATAGCAAAAAAACTACAATTCCTAGCGCAACGAGTACAAGTGCGTATACACAATAACTATCGGCCATAACCCGCGTTACGGAATTTTTTGGCAATAGATTTCAATTCTCCATATATGAAAAATATTAAAAAGTGCATGTTGTACCTCAGCGAAGCAAACAGTTAATGTCGCGACAGTTAATGATAAGGCTACCTGCTTACCCCGCGACAACTGCCCGCGACCCTGTGCACAAATTGCATTGGGCACGATGCATGCGAACTAAACTAAACTAAAAGACTAACAGAGCGAGGTGTAAAAGGATGGCTACAAAACACGGCAAATTTGGATGTTGCTGTTCGCACAGCGATAAGAAAGTGTAAATCAAAACAAACACAATTCTCGTATTGAATGCCCAAGTTTGCTGATAAATATAAAAATAAACAAGTCTTGAATGATTTTTAGTTCATGCTATGGCCATCTATAGATGATACACATACTAGTCTCTTAATTTAAATTAAGTATTAAAATAATGATAACTTAAAATTCGATTTATGTAATTTAAATTCTTCCGATGCAAGACCACCCGATTTTACGTGAAATATTTAAGTGATATGTAAATTTAACAAATAAACTTCAACCACATTGCAGAAAAACAATAAAACGTAGGACTAAACTGAAATTTCGGTACAAGACTTTCACTTTCTATAAATAAGGAAATTATTTTACTTACCATGTATGGAAGACCATAAATCGACGACGAGTTTGCTGATACTGAAATAAATAAGAATCAAAACATTAGATACAGTATTTCGTGCCATGTTGAAATAAATTTGCGTTCCGTCGGAACCCAGTTTTGAAATTAAAATTCCTTTTATTCGCATAATAATGATAGGATTGACAATATTTACCTGGCAACACATTGGTCTTTGCTCCTCTCTTCATGATAAAAATGAATTATTTGCGTTCACAAAATAATATCGCCGGCCGTCGCCGGACGGCAACGAACTCACAAACACGTGAAAAAATTAATTAAACACGCAAAATTTCAAATTACGAAAATTACACACGCGATAAGTAGTTGATAGAAGATCAAACACGTTTACCGAACTTGCAACACCGAATAACACAAACCGATAGTGTGGAATGTGCGCTCGTCGTTATCGCACCGAATCAACATCGTTGCGCCATCTGAGAACATTTTTTAGAACCTCACAAAGCAGCAAAGAGTTTCAAATAGTAAGGCGCGCATGTGTATCAGTGCGGAATTGTCTATGAGGCAGTGAGTGGTCGCGTACTTAAATAGTCCCGTACTTTTTTTCGGAAAACAATATTTATTAAATGTTTTCCGAAAAAAAAAAAAATTTGTGTTTTTTTCGTTTACAACCTGACACATGTACACGAAAGTGTGCATGCATCACCCAGTCTGAATGAATGGCAGTTTTGTACACAAATGCCGTAAGTCAAACCTGGATGGGGCGTGATTAAGTCATATATCGTATCGTATCAGCGTTTCTCTAGCAACAATTAAATACAACAAAATAGAGAATTTCATTCTGGATCTTTTGACCACGCGCTCAAATTTGTACAACGTCTCGTTTATTCACAATAACAAAAAGACTCATTTATTTACCGCCAACGCATTAATAGAAGGAGCAATGTAAGAAACACATAAATAACATCCACAAATTCCATGTAAAAAGCGTCTCATTCAGTAAATGCACTTAGGTTCTTATACAATAACAAATTTTAGTAGAATCTAATAGTAATGCACGACGCGCCTGTCGATATACAACAATAAAAACAAAACAGCGCGTGCGCCTCGCTTAAAATTTGGTTCGATTAGTCACATTAGTTACGAATCAGAAAATTGCCTAAACTTACATCCTCGGATCACAGTTATTAGTTCATAGAAATACAAATTGGTTATCATCGTGATTAAGTTAATTCGCTAGAGATGTCGATAAATAAAATCATTTCGCATTCACTATTACCCTAGACATTTCCTATAAATTATTGAAGCACTTGACTCAAAGGCAACGCGACTCGAAGGCAATGCGTTATCGTAATCAGTCTCTGTACGTGTGATTGGGTGATTGTGGTCGGGGTAGTGGTGTGCTATCGCTGGAATAGTTGCAGTAGACGACGGCGCGTCGTGGCCATTATCGGCGTCGTCGGTGTGGTGGTGCCGACTGTACCATCCGAACGGATCTTGATCTCGGATGTTGTCAGTTTTGACTTGACCTGATCATCGAGCAACTCCTGCATGTCCATCTAAAATAAAGAGAAAACCGAATAATTTAATGTTAGGAAGAAAAATATATGTTTAAGGTTTTCGCATTTACTCGCATTATAAGCAATATTCCGTAAATAATCAAATAGAGGCTGATGGAGAATTTAATTCTGCATCTTTTGACACCATGATCAAGTTTGTGGGACGCCCCGTTCGCCCACAATTACAAAAAAACAAACAAAGTACAATAAACAATTAAATAAGGTTTTTTGGATTTACTCGCGTTCTAGGAACTCACGTAGGAACTTTTCTAGCTATAATCTAATATAATCTGGTAGAGAATTTAATTCTGCATCTATTAACTTGTAATTTTTAGAACAAACCGTTCGCTCACAATGATAAAAAAAACCGCTAAAGTGCAAAAACCAACAATTTTAAGGTTTTTCTAATTTCCTCGTATTCTAGACACTTTTCCATCAACTTTTAATTATAATCCGATGCAGAATTTAATTCTGCATCTTTTGATATCTTGTTCAACTTTCTGCGCCGCCTCGTTCCCTCGCAATAACAAAAAAATACAAAACAAATCATCTCACCTGCCACTGATCAAGCTGTTGACTCAGCTCAATCTTCTGCTGGATAGCCTCCATGAGTTGACTGTTTGCCTGCAGCAGCTCAACTCGCACCTTCGCTAGCTCAATCTCCGCCTTATTCTTCCTGCTAACAGCCTGATCCCGCACCTCTCGCGCCTTAGCAACAACTTCATCCTGATTCAACGACGAATGACTGGCGTCGTGTCTCGCCCGATCTCGCTCCTCCAAAGTCGCGCGTAGCTCAGCCTCACTCACCGACAACTTCGTCGTTAACTCCATCACATCATCCGCTCTTCGCTGCAGCTCAACATCACGCTCTTGTATCTCATGCCGTGCCTGTTCCAGCCGTTCCAAAACCCTCACAACATCACTATCCAGCACCAGCCCGACTAATTCCTGCGCAACTTCACTCAGCAGCCCCGCCGAGAAGTGTTTATCGTCCTCGGCGCCCGTGGAACAATCCGAATGCAGGCCGGAATCGTCATCGGCGTGCGTCTTCAGCTGCTGGACGAGACCACGCAGCTGGCGGTAGACGGACATGCACTCCTGGCTGAGCGTTGGCTCCGAGATGTCCATTTCTACTAATAAAGATCGATGTTCACCGTCTGCACGTGTGGGTTTGATGTGGTGGTGGGTTTAGCGGTTGTTAGAAGGACGGAGAACAACAACGAACGGAAAACAAAAACAAATGCATGTTAGTAAGGTGTGTTGGTTATTCAAATGAGATGAGAAATTATTTCGGTTAAAAACACAAATTTGTTAGTCAAACGAATCATTTACTCGCACTAATGACTTACTGTGTAGACGATCTTCCATCGAGTATTTTTCCTCCTGCGGCATGTTAAAGTCCTTCATGCTCTGCTGATAGCGCATATCTTGGTCTCTAGCATGGCGCTCCATGAGCAGGATACGTTGTGAGGCTTCCTCCAAATCGGCGGCCAGTGCGTCGCGCTCTTTTAAGCCCATGTGCAGACGCCGCTCTAATTCGGTTTTCTTCGCTGTCATTAGCTCTAATTCGTCGCGGAGGCCTTCCACGCCGTTCATGTGATCCTGTAGCGTGGATTTTCCAAGAGCGCACTGCTCTCGTAACTCGTGGATCTGCTGTTGGAGTTGGTTTTCCAGTAATTGTGATTCTAAAACATAAAAAATTAGAAAAATAGAAAAATTTTGCGGTTTTTGATAGAAAATATCGATTTTTAAGCGTTTTAAAGCAGAAAATCACATAAAAACAGAAATAATTTAATTGACTTCACACCTTTTAATTGTTGTGTGAGCCTGGAATTTTGTGCCGTTAACTCTGTAAGCAGTGAAGATTTTTCCTTCTCCCATTGTTTAACTGTCTGATCCTTCGTGGAGGATTTATCGTTCATCTCAGCGATGTCCTTCTCAAGTTCGAGTATTCTCGCCTCATATTCAGACTCCCTGGTGGCGAATTTGCGCTTTTGTAGGTGTCTGTCCTGTTCTACTTCCTAAAATAAAAATAAGAAACATTAATTCGATTAGAAGAAAAAACAAAAGCATCGCCCACATGTGAATGAGTATTCAAATATGTTTTCTAGTTAAAGTTCAAGGCTCTATGACTCAAACAGACAACATACCCACAACGATGATAACGCGTTATAATAATAACAAAGCAACCGTAAAATCGATATTCGGTTATTTACTTTTCATTTCTGCGCCACGTGTAGACAGAACATGTTTTTGAACGTTTCAAATTATTAAATGATTTACATTTTTAATATACTAGGAAAGCAGTATGTAAGAATAGTAAATTTTGAAACACAGAAACCCCTGTAATAATTAAATATCGATTGACGAGAATCAGGTAGCCCGGAATCGCAAATATCTCGTAAACTAAAAGAGATAAATAGGATCTGATCGCAGCGTCTTAATCTACGGACTATTCTCTATCAGATAGGATAGTTAAAACGGAAATTTGAGAGATGAAATTTTCATTCTTAAGAAAAAAATTGCCAAGGGGGGGTGCTTGATACTTTTTTTCGACGATTTTCAAAAATTAATATCTCCTAAACTAAAAGAGATAGCTACCAACGAATTATTGATTATGAAAGATTGGAAAATTCTCTATCAGATAAAAATACAAAATAATTATATTTCCTACAGTAAAAGGTCGAAAAACGCAACTAAAAGTGCTAAAAAGTGACATTTTGCAATTTTTGTCCATTTTCTTCAATCGCGAATATCTCGTAAACTAAAAGAGATAATTAAGATCTGATCGCAGCGTCTTAATCTACGCGCTTTTCTCTATAAGATAGGATAGTTAAAACGGAAATCTGAGAGATGAAATTTTCATTCATAAGAAAAAAATTGCCAAGGGGGTGCTTGATACTTTTTTTCGACGATTTTCAAAAATTAATATCTCCTAAACTAAAAGAGATAGGTACCAACGAATTATTGATTATGAAAGATTGAAAAATTCTCTATCAGATAAAAATATAAAATAATTATATTTCCTAAAATAAAAGATCGAAAAATGCGGCTAAAAGTCGTAAAAAGTGACATTTTGCAATTTTTGCTTATTTTCTTCAATCGCGAATATCTCGTAAACTAAAAGAGATAAAAAGGAACAAATCTCAGGGTGTTACTCTACGTCAAATTCTCCGTATGATAAGATATTTATATCATGAAAATACAAGAAGTCACCTAAAATAGTAAATAAAAAATAATAATTTTAAGCGGTAAATTAATGCCATTACATCAAACATCTTTCTCAATGAAGTACTTTTCATTTCTGTATACACAAAACATGTCTTGTTGTTGTCTTAGCGTCAAAAACGTTTCAAATTATTACCTTATTAAACAAAAAACTAGGAAAGCAGTACGTGAGAATGGTTGTAAAATTTGAAAAACCGTAAATAATAATCACCATCTGTTATAGTTGAAGTTACAGTTAATAATTAACACAATGCGCATTGTTACTGTCCTTATTGTTGCAAAGAAAAAGAACTACTACTAATTGAAAATGAAGATTTATTAAAAATTGCTTTGCCCGTAAGTAACGCAAAGAAAAAGCAGAAGAAAACGCAAATAAAAGAAAGAAATCATTCATCTTCAATCTGTTATTGTCGAGCAGTGTAATCATGCGCACATGTCGACTGCACTTAGCATAACAGCGCATAATGATAACGAAAATGTGTCAATGTGTCAAATAACGAACCAGATTTTCGTATTCTAGGTAAACTTCAATTTCACAATTTCACTACGCGCATACAATTGATTAGACTCAATGACTTTGCGAGCACAATCAATCCGCACTCAAATTAGTATAGTGAATTACTTACTTAGCCTTGTTAAGTTGTTAACACAAAGATAATAAAACATTGAAATTTAAAACTGCTTTGAACATTTAATTAATGACTGCACAGAGCAGACATTTTTAATTTAAAATTGTAAAAATTGTTGTTTTACGTCACGCTAATTAAAAAGCAACTGTTTGTGTCAGCTAATAAGGAATCAGGAAGCGCACCAGCACCAATTCCATAATAGATGGTTACCTACACTCTAAAATTGTATGCAAAGCATCTAATAGTTAAAAAAAAAACAGTTGCAAACTGTTTTCGGTCATACTAGGTCACGCAAATTGAATAATAACCAATAATTACAAGAGTGTTATGTGTGTATTTTTGGGTTAGTTGATTCTAACAACGTAATAACAAAATAACAAGTTGCACGAAGCTGATTTTGACCTGTGAATGTAATTAAACAATGCTTTGATAAGCATAAAACTTTAGAAAAAAATAAAATTGATTTTTTTGTAAACAGTTTTTGAATAATTAAAGAAATAAAAGTCACGTGATGTAAAATAGATATTTAAATGTTTATGTAATGTTTTGTGCTTCAAATCTGTCGTGAACTTTCAAATAAAATATGCATAATGATGTCACAGACACCAGATGACGCTATGAATTCGTTTAAAAAACTTTTTCTTAAAAAATTGAATAATTTAAATATTTATAAACAAAAACAAACCAAAAATGTTTAAAAACTAAAAAAATATAAATAAAATCTAGAAATATTAAAAATTAATGTATATAAAACCTATTTTTAATAGTTTTGAATTTTAATCGCAAGCAACATTTTATTTCTTGTCTCTTTGTTGAGTTTAAAGTTGATTCTACTTTTTGCGTGACCTCGTCTCGCATTCAACTCGCGCGAAATGTTTGTGTTTGTAGTCGAGTGGTCGTGGCCGTTTCGCTTTTCTGCGTTTTGCTGCTTAGCAAATGCGGCGCACACAATTAATACGCGAAACAATCGCACGAGCCTGCGTCTGAAAATTATAATAGAAAGTCGCGACTCGCTTTTTCCGAACAAAGAATACAACGTTTTAGAACCAGCATCAAAACGTTGTAAAACACCGCTTAACATAATTTCCCCGTCGAATAAATAAACATATAAAATATAATGTAATACGCGTATATTATGATCAATAGATGACTTAAGTCACAATGAGCTAACATTTTATTTTAACCTGCGTCGAGTTGAGTCACTTTCAAATCATAAATTCGCGATTCGTAATTCATAATGCCTGATGACTTTTGTACATTTACACTTACACTTGTGCTGGAGTAGTGACTGGAGTGGACAAGAATTGAATAGAAATAAAACCGGTTCGGTGTGTTTCTTTCGTTGGTAAATCATAAACAGGATGAATATGAATGCGAATTAAAGCGCGGAAGGGATTCAATCGAGCGTGAAACGCCAGTAGTTGGATAAAATGCATAATAATTACAGGTTTCACTAATTTTTATCAATTTTTGCTTGGGAAATACACCGATTATTATATTGTAATTAGATTTTATTGTTTTCTATGTTATTTATTACGCATTACTTGTAATTTTATTCAACTTAACGCGTTTAATTCGCGATTTTTTTTAGTTCTTTATTTGTTGTTGCGAGTTTACGTAAATAGACGCATTGTGATTAGTCATTAGATGTTGTAAGAAGTTGGTTCTAGTATTGGTAAATAGTAAACAAACACAATGGCGACCGGATTTCGATTTCCTATAAGATTGCAGAAGAGTTGAAGTTACCACATGGAATTAAACAAAAAAAATTGTAACAAATATAACAAAACATGTCAAAATTTTAATTTAATCTTTTGGATAATTTATTTTTTGGCCTGTAATCAAGTTTTGCTTCTAAAAAGAAGGAAATGACGTATAGCATGAAGATCATATAGATAACAAGGATATTATGAGTTTTATTCGCCGATAAAACCAAAAAATAGATTTTAGGATAAAAAATATGAAAAAATGAAAATGTCAAAACTATTAGTCTTTAAACAAATTACAAATAATTAGATAATTGTACGTTTGTGTGCAATTGTCAGTGATTGCGCGTGCTTCCAAGAAGAAGAAATCGACGACAACGCAACGATTGCGAATCGCGGCGCAGTGCGGCAACCGACAAGATGTTACAGTAACACTAACGGACGAACAAAAGAAAAAAAATCAATTGGTGCAGCCGTGCGTAGAGACGTTTTCTACTTTTTACTGTCATTACAACAAACCACCAACCCAACCACGACAACAACCAATCGCACAACACAATTGCAATACAATACGCAAGAAGAATGTGAATTTAAATTTGAATTTAAACACACATAGGAAACGGAAGTAGCAGAAGCAGATGTGTGAGGGTGGGTGCCGGATACTGCACCTTTGGGGTAAAACCGGAAGTCTATGAGCATGAGTATGAAAATAAAATAAAATCTAAAAAAATAAGAACAAAGGATTGTAAGTATGAAGATTGTTATAATACGAGTCGTAAAACCTTGAAAAACAGCGAATAAAAAACCTTCGCTCGTTAAAACTTCACTCGCAAAACAATTCAATTCAATTCCAAGCTAGTAACACCCAAAAACATTGTCGCAACATCGTTAAATCGTTAAAATTGAAGGTAAACTCAACAAAACTAACCTCTAAAGTTGAAGGTCTCAAAATGGCTCAAATAACCTAAAAAACAACTACAACTACGACTGAAGATCATATAAATCACAATAACTGCATTTTATTTCTGTGGAAACAAAGAAACACAAAAATATCTCGTGTAGAAACATAGAAAACTTCCAGTTAAGATACCACTGAGTAGTTTAGTAGTAAAAATCATAAACTAGGTCATCGCACGAGGTTGTTCTCTTCTTGCTTAATTGCCATTCGCACCGTGTTAACTAGAAAGAAAACGCGCGGCTGCAAAACTAAATCAAAGTGTATTTTCTGCTTGCATAATGCACTTTACACTTTGAAATAGATTAAAAAGACGTAAAACTACGGAATTTTAAAGCGCGAATTCAGGAAATAAGTTTTAAACAATGCGTATCAAATGGGATTGGATTCGTTACAATTCAAAAGTTCGTAATTATTGCGCAATCAGCGAAGATTTTAAGTCGAAAAAGTTTCAAAGCTAACTGTTTACGTGTTTTCGCGGTGTGAATGACTTTTCTTCCCGTTGTTGTTGTTGGTGAATAGGAGCCACCTGCGTTCTGTAATCACCAGCGCGGAGAGTAATTATAATTAGTTCCCAACGAGTGTTTTTTGTTTTTCGTGCTTAATGTACGGACAAATAAAAATAATTTAAAACGCGCTAATTGACAGATGACAACGGCAAACGTAAACTGATCTGGAATGATGATCACGTGACCAAGGTAACAGCTTCTGATTGACTGTGGATTGACTTGAAAATTGAGATCATATATATTTGTGGATATTTCCTAATTTGTTTTGACATATTACTTCAAATTTCAAATTTTGCGCGTTTTTTCTTTTAAACTTTTCAAATCAAACCTCTGACATAACCTAAACACTTCCCTCACAACATCTCACCATCTCTAAGGTAATACCAACTAAATTTTGTTCTCTATAAATAAATAATCCAAAAAAATAAAAAGTCAAATAGTAAAAATTCGCTGTATAAATATTAAACTCGTTGAATAATTAATGATAACTTGTCTGTGTTCAAGATGCCTAGCCACGCCTTCTTCTAACCTGTCAACAATGACCATCAACCAATGCGTGTTGAAGTTGAAGGCGGCGCAAAGATGTCTTCTACCACAAAACACCAACAACTACTCCAGGATTAACAACACACCGCGAGTAATCAATTTAAATTCACCACCACAACAACAACGTCAATTCGCCTTCTGGAGCAAAACATCCTCCTGCGATAAACAGGAAGTAATCCTTAAGGAATGCCCGACACGCGCTTGCAACGCACCGAAAAAAGGATGGTTCAGCTGGTTATTCTCCAGTAACAAAAAGGACACGCCCACTAAAGAAATACCAGACGTACGATGCTGTCGGAAAAAATATTGTAGACAAAGTAAGTAAAATATAAAAAATTTAAATTTAAAAAAGAAAAAAATAATTTTTTTTAAATTTTAGTGCAAAATGATCCACAACCGGATTTATCTGAATATGGTGGACAAGCCTATCGAACTTGTGGTATCGCCTACGTGATCCAACGTGACCGCCTCCAACCGAAACGCCCTTGTGAATCCAAAGAAGACCGAATTCTACGCGAAATCGAAACACCGCCGGATTTAAAATCGCGTATGATACATGACGACCCAATCAAAGACAGCGATAACCTATTCTCACGCCTCGTGGAAATGTCCGATCTGGGTCTACATCCGCTGTATAAAAAAATCGCCGCCACGCCTCTCAAAGAAGGCCCCAACACATGCAAACACATCCGGCCTTATCGAGCGCTAACCGGCCCGATAGACCACTCACACCTCCCAGCACAGATCAAAATCAACCGTAGCCAACTCGAAAGGAAAAACTTATACTGGGTGCATAAGAATATCGCACCACCCGGGGATTTAAAAGGACGCATTATGGAAACCAAAGCGTTACCGAAACATTCCACCATCGGTTGGTACAGATGTAAAGATACAAAAAAGAGTGATGTGTTTGATGTGGATAGGTGTGCAAATGCGAATGTTAAACGTGATGTTGTCTTTGATAGTTTAAAACAAAAAGAGATGGATTTCACAGGGAAATGTAAGAATGTCGATCAATATGATAGAAATGAGATGGTGTACAATCCTAATCCAGTAACAGGCGTGAGTTGTTGAAAAAAAAAGAAATCAAGTTATGCTACGATAAAAACGAAAAGAAAAAATAATAATAAATGTTTGGTATTAGTCATAACAGTTGTCTTTTGTGAGGATGACATTGACACGAAAAAAACACAACGACTTTCTACTTTGATTACGACTTACGACTTTACGTCGGTCAGAAATGACTCAACTGCGAATTATGAAGGTAAAATACAATTTGCGGCAAGAAATAACTTTTTGAGGTTATGTTGGCGCATTTAGACAGATCACTGACATTTTGACTGTACAATATGCTCCACAGCGCCATCTAGATAGCTGATTTGATTATAATGACGCGTGACATTATGGCATTTCCTCGCTGACCTTACCATTTACGTTCGTTGACCTAAAAATTCGCCGCGAACGCGATCGGAAGTTGCGTGACTTCCATCTGATGATGATAAACACAAATATCTCGTGCTAGAAATCTCGTTTTTCGCGCATACGAATACGTAAATGACCTCATCTCACACTAGTATCTGACTCATATTATGAACTCACCTCTAATTTTTTCGAATACTCTTCGATGATCTGCTCCTGCTGGCGTTTCAACTCCTCGTTTTTATCAAGCAGTGCTTTACCTAATTCAGCAGCCAGTTGTAGATCGTTGTCCTTGAGCCGCAGCTGCGTCCAGAGGTCTTCGGGGATCGGCACGCCGTTGGTGACGCCAGCGCCTGCGCTATTCTCGCCACCGCCATTCAGGCTCGGATGCGCCGCCATGTTGTTATTGCGTTTCTCCATGTCTACGATGTATTCCTCCAGGGATCTCATCGCGTAGAGGATTCACGCTCGGACATTATCACGACAATCCGGAGTGGATGCATGATCCTAACTAGGAACAAACGTTAACAGGTAAAAGTAACCAAAAAATCATTACATGTTTTATTATCGCGGATATAGATAAATATAGATAGTAATTATCTATATCTATATATTGATATCTATTGTGTAAATAAACACGCGTGCATCCCTGATATTTATGTATTTAGCAGGGGAATTTAAATAAGTAATTGTTTAAATAATTCAGTTTGTGTTACGTCATCGGCCTGGGCTTGAGTAAGCGTTTATCGCAATTTGCACGTAATTAAATCCGCGTCGTGCAGATCCCAGCGTTTCGCTGAGCTTTACAAACATAATTACACGGAATTACGAATCATGAGAGATTTACAATTTATCAACAGTTGACGTGCACAATCATATCTCAGCCGCTTGTGTTGCGTGTCGTGTGTCGAATTCTTGTCTCTTTGTGCCTTTGTTTATTGTTGCGCTGCTTTCTTTATATTAACATTTCACAAGCATAAGTAAATTGATTTTTACATTTTACATTGTTTAAAAGGCATAAACTAAAATATTTCATTAATTTTATGGGTAAAAATAACATTTTTCTTGTTATTTTATAAGAATTTACTAAAAATTCCTTATTTTCCTTTGTTTTTGCCTTATTTTTACTGTTTTTGTAAAATAAATAGGTAATAATTGAAAATTTTAAAGAAAAAATGTGAATTTTAATGTTTTTAAAGCAAAATGATGTATTTCCGGATGTATCCCAATATGGCGGACACGTCTACAGAGCATGCGTCATCCAAAATGACCGCTTTTAATCATAACATCCTTGAGAAACAAAAAACGACCGAATATTAAGCGAAATTGAAACACCGCGTGATTTAAAATGACATATGACAGATGAAGATCATATATAAGACAAAGATAACCTATTTTCAAGACTAGTCGGCCATTTTGACTTGAATTTACATCTGATACATGAAAAAATCACTACCACGCATTTCAAAGATAGATTTTTAAGGTTTTTCATGGTGTAAACTGAAATTTCTTTTATTTCACAACTAAAATCCTAATTTTCTGGCAATTTTATAACACCCTACCCAAAAATTTCATAAATTTCTTCGTTTTCACTTTGTTTCACTTACGAAATCGTAATTCGAAACTCCTCGAAATTAATTTACCGTATAAACGCTACAATTTGCCCAATTGGACAAAAGCAAAACGTTTAGAAGACACACATAATTCCATTAATTACATAAATCGTGTGTTCCACACCACACGCTTATAATTTAATTAACTTAATCGTTCGTATATCATCCACAATACTGGAAACTTGAAAAAAACCTCCAACATTCAACTAATTACTGCAGCAGCAATTAATCGCCAAGCCACAAAACAATACACGCCGACGATGATAACGACGACGCAAATCAATTTTCACGTAGGCGTAGGCGGTGTTACAGATCACAAATTGACGCAAAAAAAAAGCCGTCTCGTGCGAGTATGTGCGGTGTTTTTGCGTAGCGCGCAACTTTCCCATTGACATTTCGCACACACGACACGACACACAGCATAGCTGCACACAGCCTACACGCGCTTACCTTTAAAATAAATTAATCCACAAGTTGTGCACTAGCGCAGATTGTATTCCGATATTTATCTCAGCGTGCGCACACCGAATTACCGCATCGACCTTTTGTTTTCCCGTCGGTGCGCTTATCAACGTACAGATAACACGCCGCAACACGAAACAAACCGCGACAACACACAACAAATTCCCGCACTCAAGATTTCCGTCTTCTTCTGTTCCGTAATTTCTCGCTATCTATCAGTTGATAATATCAACACCGTTTTTAAAAAACAAATTAAATAATTAAATAAACAAAAGAAGCGTTAGTGAAATTACAACATACACACAACTGACGACGCACACGGCTTGTGAGTGTGTTTTTTATTCGGCTGCTGCGCACGACGCGAACGGCTGGCGAGCGACGACTGAACACACGGCACAGGTAAACTACAGGTCGCACAATACCTGTACGCACTGGTAAAAGTACTGTAAATGTCTCAATGTGTGTGTGTTTGTGTGGTATCCACCAACGCAACCAGCGTGACGTTACATTACACTCACACTCGTGCGCATTTAAAATTAATACGTTTTTTGATATTTAACTGACGAAAATTTAAAAGTGTAAGGAAAGAAGTCCATAGTTAAATTGGGACAACCTTCATCGCAATTACGTTAATTCGTATTCGTTATTAAATCGATAGCGAGACACATCGCATCGACCCTGTTTCCAACTGCTCCAACTTCGTTATTTAGTGGTTTTATTGAATTATTGAGGCATGAAACAACCCTCGGTGGGGTGTTATGTGGGTGGTTGCCAAGGAACTAACCGACAAGGACTTTATCAATGACAATACAAACAAAACGAGTAGAAGTGATGAATTTTTTGATGTGTGTGTGTGTGTTTGTGATGTGTTTACAAAAATAAATACTAAGTTGGAGCAGATTGTATGTTTACACAAGTTTTAGCGCATCTTATCACTGTTAGTTGGTTGTTTGTGAATCTTATTTGATTTTGCTTTCGATTTGTAGATACTAGCGACATCTACTATAAAGTTATGAATTCAACATTGGAATTTACATAGTTTTTGTGATAAAAACTGGATAATTTAATGTTAAATAATAGTGTAAATTAATAAATAAAATAAATAAATGTTACTTGTGATGAAATTATCACTGTAAAACACAGCAAATTAAATTTTTTGTTATTTTTAGTTGAGTTCTATACTGCTAGCGACGTTTAGTGTTCAAATTCGTTAACAACTGCTACTCAACTTTACGATTACCATCGAAATGGGTTTTTGTTAATAAATAAGACTTAAAATAATACAAATTGCATTCTAAATAATAATATAAGTATAAATACAACATTTTTGTTTTAAAATTAGAATTCTAACACCCACCTTACTAAATTTTCTGTGAATTTTTGTAGAATTTAATACACCTTGCGCCATCTAGTGTTCAAATTCATAACCCATACCTACTCAACTCTACCCGCAACCTTGAAAAGCATTTTCAAATTTCCCAAAGGATTTAGCAATATTTAAATAATTACAGCAGCGTGTTTAAGTCAACTAAAACCCACTTTAATTATACATAACATTGATTGATATTCATTCATCTCAACTAAGCGTTTATCATTATAATATTATTTATATTCATATTTATATATAATATAATTATCATTAGTCGTAAATGTAATTATCATCTCATCGTTATTTCATTCTCATCGTCATTGCTTCACCCACCTCGCTTGAATCCATTGAAAGTTTAAAGTTTTAATTGAAATTTACATCCAAGTTTTACACACGGTGTTTGCATTTGTGGAAAGGAAACATCTACGCAAAACTTTTCCCACACCGGTTTTTCCTCACCGAAAATCATCACTGCCGCAGTTTCAACATTCGGTAGTAGAGTTATTTATGTACATCATTAGTGTCGTGGCGGGTGTCAAAGAACATTAAATCGTGTCGTCGCTGGAATGTAAATTTGCGTAAACTAAGTGTTACAATATCTCGGCTAGAATAAAAATTAGACAAAATGGCGGCGTCGCTGCGTGCATGTGTACAATGTGTAATTATCCTAATAAAAACCTTAACTAGTAGAAAAACCATCATCAAATTTCGCGCTTGCGGCAAATATAAACATAAACAAAATTCAAATTCGATAAAATATGGCAACATTTCGCTAATAAAAAAAACCACCCACTAAGAGTAATTAAGTGAACACTTGAACAATACCATACAAATACTCAAACGGTAATAATATTGATTCTCAATCATAATAAATGCTTCAAGATGTGCGCAGACACAATGTGTGTGTGTGTAGAAAACATTCAACACGATTAATTAACACGACAACAAGTACAATGTCCAAGATATAAGAGTCCACTCGTACCTTGATTGACTTTACGAAACATGATATGACGCGTTGTGTGTGTGTGTGTCCTGGAAATAATTGTATTTTTTGATTTCATGTGTGTTGCGTGTGTTCCTCTCTCTGCTATTGATTAATCTTAGCCACAGTCAGTCGCCTCATTCGCTCGCCTGCATTAAGCGCTTATCACTAGGTTTTAGAGTTTAAGTACAGTTAGTGTGTTCGGAATTTCTTCTCTTTGCGCGCATGCGCGTTACTCACGAAAAATAACATCAAACCCAAGCGTTATTTTGTTGTTTGCTTGCTTATCATACGTACAAATTATTCTGCATCTCGTTAATCTATCCCTATCTACGTTTTTACTTTGTTTCTATCTATAGCCCCCAAAAAATAAACATATATTCTTTATATTCATAGTATTTTCACGTGTTAGTGCCGCACAACGGTCGGAGCAATGAATTGAGGTTATAAACATGACATTTTTATCATTTTTCTAGTTGAAATGTGTTTAAAATTATTTTTTTTGTTTGTAAATTTTAATTTTGTGTTTTTGAGACCGTTGTACGGCACTTATACCTCTTATTTCTTGCTATAGTTAGTTTTAAAATCTGCATTAAGTCCACCAACGAATAAACATCGAGTAAAAAAGTTTTTGTTTGTTTTTCTTCATTTGTTCTCATCGTGCGATGCGTCTGCAATTTGCATTTTAATTTGCGACTACGATGTGCTTACATTTTGTGTGTAGTGTGTGTCCGTGTGTGTTGTTTTCCTTAGCTTAATATTATTACATACAATTTGAAAAGTTCTGCAAGTCGAAAAGCGCTTTTATACGGTAGGTATGTATTTAACGTACATTTATTTTAAGTATTTACCCTAATTTTCCATGTTTTATGCCCGTTTTTCACTGGTTTCTCTGGAGGATTTGTTTATTTCATGATCAATTTCAATCTGGAATTATTTTTGAGCTTTCTGGAGCTATTTATCTCGGTTTTGTGTGTGTTTTTGTCATTTTTTCTTCCTACAACACGTTATCAATATATATTTATAGATTTTTATATATATGTAGTATCAATATATATATTATATGTATGTATATGGACGATTATTATGTTCTTTTGTTTATTAAACTTCAATTTCTCATTTTTTGTTATTTTTTTTTCAACTAGCTGCTCATCGTCGCACATCGTTCGCTCGCAGTTTCAATCAATTTCACATTCGCGCATCACACTCGCATGATTTCCTACCAAATTGCTTACTCTCGATATATATATTCAGCTTTTATCAATCCATCTGATGTTGATGTTAATTAATAATTCAGTTTTTGTTTTTATTCATCATTGCCGCATAAGTAGTTTACGGACATTTTGTTTTTTGATTTGTTTTGTGTTTTTATCTTGTTCTTGTTGGGATAGATTTGTGTTTGTGTCTTACGTGTGTTACCGAATGAAAGAGATTACATCGTGGCGTCCCACTCGAGCTGATGGACGTGCTGATAAGCATGTTTGCCGCCGGCGGCGACCTTGCGCAGGCTACCCGTCGCCGCGCCCTCATCGTCATCATCATCCTCATCGGAGGAGTCAGCGCGGACACGACGCGGTCCATCAACGCGCTCGTCATCCTCCGACGAGGACTCCGAATCGGACGCCTCCGAGTCGGTAAACTCAGCCGAAGCGGCACCACCGCCCCCAGCGCCGCTCCCACCACCCTCCAACTTCTTCTCAGCATGCTCCATCGGATTCACGGTGATGGTGAGCGCTGAATCATCCCACGTCATTTCCGACTCAGCCACCTCTTCAGCGCCTGCGCGTTGATGAGCGGCGCGTATCCGGAACACGCCTAATACAATCATGAAAACCAGAAAACCGCCGCACACAACTACTATAATAGTAACAGCGTGTGATCCGCCCGTAGCCAATAGATGCTCATTCACCCCGGCAGCGCTCGGTGAGTAGTCTCGTGCAACTACAGAAGCCGGACGCATTTCCACATTATGTTTGGGTGCAGCCTGCGCATGCGCAACGATGGGCTCCTTCGGTGTTGGATGGATAACTGTCAACTGCAATCCAACATACACACAATCACCAAACAATAAAAAACAAACAAAATCTCAATATACTCACAGTCTGGACGTATTCATTCGAAGTAAACCTTCCATTCAACTCGGAGCAAGTCAACTTGAACACCCGATTGAGATAATACGCCGGCTTGCGATTCGTGTAGACAATCTGCCGCAACACTTGCTGGTAATTATAGAACATATCACTGCCTGTGATCGTTACGCCATCTTTGGACACCCTGGCCGCCATTCCCAACCGCTTCAACATCTCCTCCGGCACGCTGAGATTCTCATGATCCGGGTTGAGATTCGGATAAATCGTCAGGGAGCATTTATCCAGTTTCTGCTCGCCTGCAATGTGCACATCTGCAAGTACTCTCACGCCCATACGGAAATCTTCATATTTTCGTGCGAGATTACCAGTTCCATTGATGGAAATCGACGGTGTTTGTGGTCTGAGGACCATGACATACGTCTGCGCATCAGGTACCTTCACAGACTTACCATTATCGCAGGTAACTGATGTAGTTAATCTCAAATTACGTCTGCCAGGCGTCGGGAATTCACGACTATTCACATATCCAATTCTTCTTACCAAAACTTCAAGATTAGTGCGGTTGTCACCTTCGACTGTGACCTCAGTCAGATCCGAATTCGTCAATAGCTCCATCCCGGGTTGTAGCAGTTCCATCGCAGGTACCTGTAGGCTTTCCTTACACTGATGCAAACAGGACAACACCTCGGGTTTCTCCGTATCGCCAACCAGGACAGATAATCCCGCCAGATAACCCTTGAGGTAATGTTTCATCTTGTTATCGCTGCCCTGCCAACACGCACCCACCGTCAACGTGGTATTAATCCCCTTCGTCGGATGCAGCGGCCAGTCATCAATCACCTCCGGGTTCTTTTTCTCTGCGCGGAATAACTGTCCATCTACATAAAGTTCGACATCCGGGAAGCGTACATTCACAGCGTAGTGATGCCATTGATCATCGCAGACCTGTGGTAACTTCCAGCGCCATTCCGCTGGGCGGAAGATATTCAAATCACCTTCGGAGAAATCTCTACGTAACAAGAGAATCAAGCGACAGTTACGCACAAACCACGCGTAATGATGTCGATTCATTTTGTGATCATCCGCTGAGCATAATAAATGCTCCTTAGCGTGTTTATCTTGTCCAGCGTGTGCTCCATGTCGCATCCATGTAGCAAACGTAAAAGTCGGCGGTAAATTGTGATCCAGGACACTATTAGGGACTGAAACAGCTACGCTACTCCCATCAAACTCAAACATCTGATCAGACTCGTGTCCTTCATCGCTGATCAACGGTTTAGTCCATTCTGCACCCAAACCAGGCGATGGTAACAAATCAATGGCATTCGGAGACGCTCCACATAACTTCCTCTGTGATTCAACACTATAAGTATCCCGATCACATCCCTTACCAATGTGTCGCGTTGCAAGATCAACTCTCGCGCGGATTTCACGCACGTTGCATGGAACATCGCATAATTCCAACGCGGCCGCCGGGAATAACTCCTGTTTACCTGTGGTGGGTGCGTAATCAACTCGCTCGGGCAATCCACGCCAGCCTAGGCGACATACCCGGTTGACTTTGATGGTGACCATCACCGGGAGTGATTGTCGCATGCCGCAATCATAAGCAACCACGCTGAGGATGTGGTTGTGCGAGCGTTCGTAATCCAGCGCCTCGGTGTTGCGAATGCTGCCGTCCATGTCGATGACGAACGGTTGATCCGATGTGAGGATTTCATACTTGCAGACATCGCCGAATTTCGGCGTGCAGTCGCGGTCGGTGGCTTCAACACGGACGATTTCATGATAGATTTTACCTTCGTCCACTTGGCGCACGTAGGATGGCTCGGAGAATGTCGGCGCGTATTCGTTCACGTCCGAGACGGTGATGTGAATTGTCGCACTAAATAATAAATAATATTATTATTAATTATAAAGTGTTATTTTGTGGTTAATGATGATGAAGATAATACCTGACGGATTCTTTATCGTCGCATCCAACTGCAGCGATGTCGAATTTATAATTGCGGCGCTTTTCGCAGTTGAGTACTCTACGCGCGCGCAGCTCAGCGTAGCCATTTTCTTTCAGGTCGATAAGGAAGGGCGCCTCACCATGATGTTTGTTCACGATACGAAACGAGCATACATTATCCCCTAGAGCGCGAATGGCGGGTGTAACTTCGACGACGGTTTCGTTCTCTTTCACCAGGCCATGGTAGCCATTGTCCAGGTTGTCAATGTCCAGCTTGGGCGCTGCAACCATACACACAAAACACAATAAATTAAAGTAAAGAAAACAAACGTGTTGATGTTGATTAATGAAATTGGTGCGTTTCAAAAGGAGAGCGTAATCCGTTTATCCACTTATCAGCAGCCCGTGCATTGTTTATTCACAAATTCAATGCGTGATTGTTGTCCGCGTTGACCGGTGTAATAATAGCAATGAATAAATGAGTATGTATATACGTACTTGTATCTACATTACATAATACAAATCAAAATTGTAATTGTATTAAATTTTACGCAGTAAAATACAAAAACGAAGAGAGGCGAGAAGAGAGAAAAAGAAAAGTTTAACTTTAACAATAATATTATCCCGCGTTAAATTTCAGCCTGTGCAACAATACAATACAATGGAAATAAATGCGGGCGGCGATTCGTAATCCGGACACGAGCGTAGCCACCACCACCACCACTACACAACCATCGCCGCCTCCGGATGATCTCTTTCCGTTACGCTATGTGTGCATATAGGCAACCACACATACACACGCATAACCAAACCGCACATCGAATAATAATATACCGACTAAAGCTACATCCAAAACTCTGAATCTAAATCCAAACCCAAAGAAGAGTTTTTCTAAAAAAAAATCAAAATAAAGAAAAAGAAGAGAAAGAAAAATAGTTACAGAGACACAGCAAGTCGACGACCGTGGAAATCAATAATCTAGTAATACTATCTACGCGATTAAAATGAAATAATTATAAACTATCAACGAATCACTGAATTCCGATTGCGTCATCACGTGTACAGCGCAAGCGCAATAACAAATACACGTAGATACATGCTATACAAGCGCATTCACGCAGAGTCAACAAAAGCGGCGGACACTTGACACCCCAGAATGATGATAATGCATCAAAATGCACAATTCACAACAACTAAACTAAAACAATATAATACCGCGGTGTATGTGTGTTTTATTCGATTATAAATGCACTCACACGTGTCGGCTGGCGATATCGATTGCGGCGCGCGGTTTGATAAAGTGTTTTTACGCGTTCATAAATCGTTGCGATTAGGTTTTGATTCAGTACACATACACATGGACACGTGTTTTGTCGATGTAACACAACCTAAACTTTCAACCCTCGCAACCCTTGATGGAAAAAATCAATTTTTTTTCTTTTCGTGTGTAATATAAGAAATATTAACGTCTATTAAGTGAGCTAAATTAAGTAGTGATTATGTTGGTTTATTTATTTTCGTCGGCGGCGCGCGTGGAAATAGATACTCTCGGGGAAAAGTGGAGAAAAACATATGGCAGGCGGGCGCTGACAGGTCGAGAGCCAGATGGCTCGTAAACGAGTCATCGCCTGCTGCTGCTGCACGAGCCAAATCTCATTTCGGCGAAGGACACAACACAACACATACTAACAACAAAACCCAAAGAATAAAAAAATAAATAAATATCAACAATCATTTTTTTTTTTAATATAAATATAAATTTAATTTTATCCGCATGGGTACGCTGTGTGTGTTTAAGATGAAAGTTAAAAGTGATGATGACACATTAAAGAGATCTCGGGCGTAGCCTAAGGATACTAGACATCCACCCACACACCCTTGATTTCCGCCTCTCTTTTTCCCTCTTCCTTTCGTCCCGGGGCCTGAATTTTGTGTTTTCTTTTGATTTCCTGAGGCGGCATGCTCGGCGCGACTCGTTAGGCAAACAAGCCGCGCTGCTGCTGCTCGGCGCGCGTCTTAAAATAAAGAATGACACACACGCCGGCAGCCTAATAACAGGAATAAAAGTGTGTCGCGCCTTTGCCTTGACTTCACGACGCTGCAAGATTCGTGTTAAGAAAATATTTCATATCTCACGTTCGCATCGGGTTTTAAAACCCAACGAAAGACGAGTAAAAAGAGGGAAAAAAAACTATTATTAATCAGTTATCGGTTATTGCAAATGGCTGGGCTGTGCGAATGAAGAATAAAAAGAGGGAAAATCAATGAGCGGGCGAAAAATGCACCCCTAGCATTAATTCAGCGCGCGTTTGACCTAAAATAAACACCACACAAACAAAAAAAAAACAGGTGAATAAATCTACTGCATTCGCTGTATGAGTATGTACAGACTCTCAACAAATGTAAACAAAGTAATGCGTAATTAAAACCTCATACTTCAAGGTAAGATGCAAATAATAATCATAATAATAATCAAATAGAAAGACTTGTTTAGTTTTACATTAACTACTTGTGCACATGCTTTGATTCTCGAGTATTTTTCTGTGCGCCCGCCGGCGTCGGCGCGCTCTTGTGCGCTTATTACGCCGATTATCGCCGTTTTGCGCCCGCACAGGTAGAGAACAAGTCGAAACGCACACACAGCAGCAGAATGAACTCAGCACGCCGAGAGGCTGGTGTGTCGCGCGCCGAGTGCGGACACGGCGGCCATTTTGAATAACAGCCTTCGACAAAAGACGTCCAACGTCGCACGCAGCACCTTCTAGACTATTCTCAATGCGAAACAAATAAATACAACGCAACGATGTTTTATGTTGGCTAAACTGCGTAATCGCACCGTAAACGACATGAAATCATCAAAGCGCAATGAAATTCGAAATTCATAGCATTCCACCCCTAGAGCTATTCCCATAAGTGCCATTTCCCAACACGACGATTTTCTAGGTCCTGTGTGTATCTGTGTGTGAATGTTTGTGTAGCGCAGGTGCGTAATTAACGCCATTTTGGTTGTGTCCATGTCCGCTCCAGCACCCCGCACTCATTTGTTTGTGCATGCCTAATAAATACGCAAAAAAGAGAGAAAAAGAGGCTACTCACCACCGTCGTAGTCGTCAAAGTCGGCCAACGTCGGCGACACCACAGCCACCACCAGCGCGAATAAACGCAATCCCGTCCACATCTTCATCGTCGGCTGGAAATAATCCCTGCGTACGCACCCCGTTGGCACGAATACAGCGCGTGCAGGTGTGTTGTGTTGTTATCGACGCGACTACGCGACGTCCCCGTACGCCATTAAACCGCGCGCACGGCGGGCGACGTTCTTACAACTCTACAACTCTTCGTCGCCGTGCGAGCTTTGGCTTGTTGCAATATGCGCGCACACACCGGCTGGGTGTATAGTACTATACTCACGATATGCTTTACAACTGCGGCGATGATTACGGAAATATCGTAATCGTTGGCACCACTAGCACGCAGGTGCGACTGCTTGTGCTGCTGCCCGCGACGGTCGGTGCGCTCTGGTGCGCGTTATCAGCGTATTGCTGTGTGCGTGCGGTGCGCTCCGTTCGATGGCTGCGCTCGACTGCAGCGCCTCCACCTCACTCCATCGCCGTACGTACACCTGCTATACGTATACGCCCGCATAAAATCTCCAATCGGACATTGCAGCGCCATCTCTACGTGAATACCACCAACTATAACCAGAAATATTCTATAGCATCTACAGGATGATTGTGCATTCAAAACACTTGTAAACATTTCTTTTACCATTTGTTTTGAACAATACAGTTAACAATAATTCACTTATTCATCATTGTATATGTATATAAGTCATAAATTCATGCGACCGGGGTGTGTGTTCATCTGCATCAACTTCAACATCAAATGTATCAATATCAATATGCTTGACAATATCGGTGTCACTACGTATAAGTCGTGTGTGCGCCATGCTACTGCTCTCCTCGTTCACAGAGTACAAGTATAAATTCGATTATTGTTTAATTTAATATTGTGTTATGCGTAAATGCGCCGCAATCCTCAACTATCTCAACTAGAATAAACGTAATTCATGTAATTTTGGCAGCAATGTTATCAATCAAGCTTGTGCAATCATCATTCAGTTGCTAATCTTCGGCTTCCTGCGCGTCTCCTGCACCGCAGCGACCAAACTCTTCACAGCTTCCTCGTGCCCTTCAAAACTATCCGCTTTACGCACCGGCATTGGATCCGGCGCGGACAGTTTCGCGCATGCGTGATGCCTACGCTTCGGCGGAAACGTCTCCCAACTGCGCTGCTTCTGCGCCAGCGACTGATTCTTATTCCGGCGATTGATCACAACCACGAGGGTTTTATCATTGCCATCATAACTACTACGCCGTGAAGATGTACTCAAAGAATCCGCCGAGTCATGCAGGGAATAAAAAACATTATCTTCACCGTCGCTGTATGGATAAACTTTGCCCTTTTTACTCGAAGCACCGGATGATCCAGCGCCTGCGCTGCCAGCGCGTTGCATGGTGCCATGTTGGCTGCCTGCATGCGCGCCGCCATGTTGATGTGCTTTACCTTTGCGACACTTGGGACTCGAAGGACTCGAACGTGTTTCATGCACCATCGCCTTGACATTCTTCGATGTGCCATCTGCAGTGATCCTCTTATACTCACACTGACTCTTTGGGCAATCGTTGAGTTTATCGCATGATTTCCCAATCTTCTTATACATGATCCGTTGATGTTTACCACCGAATGACGATTCTTTTCCGGGTTTTTCAGTGGCTTCTCCATCGGATTTGGAAGCAGCGCTTTGTCTTCGACACATAATATCATGTATCTTTTCTTTTATATGAGTTTCCAGTCGTTCGATGTTCAACTGCTGCGGGACAAACTTCTTCGTCTTCGATGTGGGCGTAGTCGCCGCTGATTTCTCCATCTGCGAGGTGGATTTGGAGCGTTCACGATCCGGCGGCTGCGGACGTACTTTTTCAATCAACTGCCCGATAATCCTCGAACGTGAGCGTGGAATCTTGCCGGTTTCAGTCTGTAGACGCCCAATATGCTCAAGAATATTCTGTAAATGCTGCGCTTGTTCCGCAGCTTGATCACTTGCCGCTTGTTGTTGTTGACTTGCGGCTGGTGTAAGCGTACGCACATACGGCTCTAATTGCTGTGCAACATTACACAAATGTTTCAATTCATTGCGTAGAGTCATGACATCCGCGCGTTGACAACTGAAGACTTCTTGTTCAACGCGCAGACGCCATAGTTGTTCCTCCCAGCTTTTATCGAAAACAGCCGCCATTCTATCCAGTTCGGTTTGTTGCCGTTCCAGACTGGCATCCAACAACTGACAGTCTCTAGTTAATACTTCATATCTGGTAGTTAAAGGTGGATTCTGCGCTTTGCGAATAGCAGAGACATCTTTGTGTAACTCCGAGACACGATCCTTCACCGTGTTGAATTGTGTGTTCAAGTCGCGTATCTGCGACTCGAAGCTTCTGCAATGCACCGAGAAACTTGTATCTGCATCAAGGAGTTTATTCTTCATGACGGTCTGTTGTTTTTTTGTAGGTGGCGGTGCGGAATCGTACATTGAGCGTGAAGATGCCGCCAGTTCAGCTTGATGTTGACTCACTGCAGTTGCTCCGATCCATGGTTCCAGACTCTGCGCAAACTCCGAGCGATAATTTGTTTTTATCGATGAAGACTGCAGTGATCTACATTAAAAAACATTAATTAACCATAAAAATAAATAAAATAATAAATATTTTACCTAACAGGTTGACTCAATTGCCCCACAGCAGCCAATCGTTCAATCAACGGTGGACACAACTCCAAAAACTGATACTTATTCGCTGCGGACGTGAAAGTCGTACACAACACCAGATGGAGCTGCAGTACAGGCATAACAGTACCCAGAACGAGTAACTGTGAGCGATAAACACGATCTTTGCTCTCAAACTGCCGCTGTACTTCCATAATCATCGCAGCGTGTGTCTTCGCCATTGCCTCTTGCATACCCTGACAGAATGTGTTAATCGTATGCTTTTCCTGATCCATATTCCGGCGTAGATCATCCATTAGGCCTTTCAGAGCAATGATGCCATCACGCACGGATGTTTGCAGATCCATGATGGCGTTCTGCCCGCGCTCTAGACGCTTAGCAGCTTGCGTGTGCGCTGTTTCGATGTCCATGCACTGCGCACGGAGTTCAGTCGGAGTGTCGCGGAAGCAATTCACGCAGAGCATCGCGTTCTGCACCGGGGAGTACATGATGAATTGTTCACCATGCGTCGGACACTATATTAATAAAAATTTTGTGTTAATAATTGTAAATAATAATATAAAGTTGTGTTTTATTTCTTACGCGTTTGGGTTCCTTTGCGCATCGATTCATATGAATAATATCATGCTGTGAGAACATCTTAGCGCGATGCGTGTTATCCCGACAGGATGAGCACAATGCCTGCCCGCAGGTGTTGCAGTAGTACATGTTGGCGCGATCACGCTTGTCGCAGTTCGAGCAGGGCGGGTTCTCGCTGTTGGCGATCTCGATCAGCTGCCGCATCAACGTGTCCGGGGGCGGCAAATTATACCCATCCTTCAATACGGTCGGTGCGCTAAATAATCACCACAATAACATTAATTACCCCACAAATTATTAAATTAATTATTATTAAATACTAACCGACAGAATGGACAAATCAACCTGCGATCCTGTTCACGTCCACGTAGACACCGTGAGCAGAACGTGTGATAACAGCCGAGAATACACGGCTCGGTGTAATAATCCCCGCAGATCGGACATAGCAGCGGGTTTTTCGAGAACTCCATCGCCAACTCCGGTCCTGGATCCATTTTTGCACGCAAATCTTCTCGTCCCGAGACCGTCCCAACATTCGCACCTTTCCTAAACCCCCGAAAAAAGCAACAGAAGTAGTTTTAATGTGAAATTTGTTGTTTTTATGTAAGATTATGCAATTTCTTTACCTGAGAAAGTAGATAATCCTTGTTTAGCTAAGCTACCCGTGCTGCCGCCATCGTGTCTCCCTGCGCGCGCGAGTGTGTTAGCGTGCCGCCCCCAGGCAACGACTGCCACCCCTGCGCGCTGCGGCGGCGGTGGGCGAGATGTGACCCACATAATGGGCACACGCGCAGACGCGCAAAAAGGTGCATGAACTGCGCTGACCCACATAATCGCGCCGCCACTACGCGCGCCCAGGGGGGCGGCAACTGCGTCCCGCACACTGCTGCCATCTATATTGCACCCCTCAACAACTTATAGTACAAGTTTTTTTTTTTTACAAATGCTAAGTCTAATGTGTTTTGGTGTAGGTTTTCGTTGATTGTTCTCACTATAATTGTCATTTTTGTGCAGAAATTAAGTGATTGGACCCTTGGTAACTGATTAATTATAAAAATATGTGTGTTTAGTCTATTCGTAGAAGAGCCGGAGCTTGGAGGTAGTGATGAGCAGCTCGTCGTCGAAGAATTTCGTCTCGATAACGATATTTCCACTGAAAATAATGAGAAAAACATTGTTTTTAAATAAATTTAAAATTGTGGATAGTACCATGTGACAAGGTCAGATTAGAGGTAGTCGTGCAGAAATCTCGACTCCTGATTGGTTCAGAGTCAGCTGTCATTTGTGTTGGAATTTTTAAAAGATCATATAAATAACATGGATTGTGCGCACTACATAACCAAAATTACAGTTGTACATGAATACAACTAAAAATGTTATATACATGATCCGAAATTTGACATCTAACTAGACCGGGTTATTTAAATGCAATTCACTATAATAATTCTTACTTCAAAACCGACGCAGGCATCATTTCCGACTCGGGGCGGCTTGCATCACACTCTGCCAGGTATTTTTACTCTCTGCCATCACATAACCAAACTCAAAATACCATTCTTCAAGACAACGACCCTTAAAAAGGACTTTCTGCAAAGAAAAACACAATATTAATAAAAATTTATAAAAACACAATTATTCTACCTGTTCAAGTCTAAACTTTTCAATTCCTTCCTTGGAGCTGAAGCAAAACTCGCGTGACAACGCGCGACATTTCAAAATATGCTTCGGAACGTGCGCTTCGTGTTCATGATCGTTCTGGCTGAGGTCATCGGTGCCCTGCCAGAACACCTTGCCACCATCCAAGTCTTTCAGGCAAATCCAATTACTGAAACATGTGAGAACACAATTAAAACTTTGAAAAACTACAATAAAAACGTCGAAACAATTGTGTATGTCAATAAATTACTTTCCCTGAACACCCTAGGCACGCGACAAAGTGATTAAGAACTAATTACAACTGATAATTGATCAATTACAGCTAAACAAATGAAAAACGAGTGTGTACGAGTACATTTAGAGGTTATAATTACATTTGGAAGCCTTCTAGAATCTTTTCTGCACGATTATTCGACACCATGTTTTGCAACAATACTAAAAACTATTTCTTTATAAACTTGAGTCTTGTCTGCGTTGGTTTTAAAATGTTTAATGTTTAAAATTGTGTTTAAAACAAGCGCAAATTGAAAAGTTTTGAACGAACGACCGACGCGCACGAAAGTCACCAGACGACTGCGACGCGTGTTACCATCAACGTGAAAGTAACTAGATATTCAACCCCCACTACAACTAAAAATACAATAAAATAAAGAAAAACATTAAAATTAAACAATTTTAGAAGCAAATAAACATTTAAACTAATAATTACAAACTTAAAACATTTAAAATTAATAAAAATGTAGTTTTTTTAGTTCTTTTTGCGTTTGACCCCAGCGGCCATTTTAAATCTGGTGACTTTCAGTTACCAACTGCTGAAATTGGTTGCCAGTTATGAAAACCATGAAATATTTGTTGATTACAGATTATAATAATAATAGACTATCGAAAATATACATAATAAGAATATGAATAACAATCATCAGGAAATAATTTGCAAATACATGTGTCTGTGTGTTGTTATCATCACTGGTGTGAGAATGAAACGTAATCGCTAGAGTCAAGTAATATGCTAATAAACGTAAATTTGGAATAATCGTCGATAGACATCATAATAGACAACAATTCGAACCGCATACGCACCCCGCCCGCGCGTACATTACTTTAGAATTATATTATTTATTTACAATTCCTGCGCCATTTTCTTGTTTCGCCTAACTATACCATCATTAGACCGATTCAACGCCACCAAAACGCGGTCACTCTTCAAGCAGCGGCGGTGTATCATTATTCTGCCCATCACCAGCCTCCCGGGTCATACTCTGTATACCCTGCGGCGGTAGAGGCGGTTCATCACCGTCAATATCATCATTCTGAGCGGTAGTTTCACTACCGTCGACGATACCAGGACGCGCTGCTTGTTCCACCGGCAAATTCGCCGTTGGGAGAGTAGAAGCATCATCAGGCAAGAGATTTTGTTTATCTTCACTTGCAGCAGGGGTAATATCAATGTTGGAATTCGCTTGGACGCTTGCAGTCGTACTCGGGGCGGCGGCTGATGAAGATAGGCAACTCATATCACCGCTAACAAGATGTGTGGCCACAAGCGGTGATTGCAGATTGGATTTTCTTGTTTTTTCACCTAAAAAACCCCAGAAACATGAAATATCACCAGAAAAACATGGCGTCCATCACCAACCTTTCCTCCAGAGTGTAATCTCCTGCTGTTTGAAATATCTCCGATCCTCGGTGTCCATCAACACCAAATTCAGAAAATACTTCACCGAAAACTTCTTATTTATATCGCGCATCGTCGGCGTCAGGTCATACCCGCCCAGAAACACCCTAATCGGTATACTTTCACCTCTGACAGGCGCGCCATCCATAATCTCATACTTTGCAATCGTGACATTCTCATGATAAATATTATTACTCATTCCGGTGCTCTCCTTCTTAATAATCGCAATCTCCATGTGCTTGATCTTGATGCGCACGAGCAGGAAGTAAATCTTGCCGACAATCACGTCTTTCAGATGATACTTGCTCTTGTTGTACTCGAACTCAATATGTAGGCAATCCTCAATACCGACCTCCATCTTGATCGAGTTGTTGATATCCGGATAACTGCTGAGTGTATGCACGGCGATATCCACTTCTTTTGTGATATCAGCTAGGCGTCGTACGACTGTTACTTTTAAAAGTAACGCAGTTTCACATTGACGCCGGTGTAGATCTCGTAGGGTTTCTCAACGTTGAGAAACTCGAATGGATACGAAGTGTTTTGAATCATTTCCCCGGGACGCGCTAGTTCTTTCACCAGCGAGGTGAATTCATGGTGATTACCGCGATCGTAGAATAGTTCAATCTGTCCGATGAATTCAATCTTGATGCCTTGATGCTCTAGTTTGGATCCGGATTTTTTCAGGCTGATATTCACCTTGCCACTGACGGTCTCACCGTCGTAGTATAACAACAAGCGTTCTTTCTTGTCATCTTCGGTCTTTACCTCGGCGGTTTTCCGGTTATCCTGCCCGTCTAAATAGATATCTATGTCTGCTGTGCGACCAAACCCAAATAAACTCTGTAAAAATTCATTTTTGTAACAAATTAAGTGAAAACAAGTGGTTAAATACTTACCATGATGTAATTTTGAATGTAATCGAATTAAATGAATGTAATGCAAGGCGTTTCACGATGAATTATCGTTTTTTTTTCTTGTGGTTGTAGGCAAAAACTGGTAGAACTTGAATTAGTTAACCTGTTAACCTGACATTTTTTCGTGTTTAAATGCAGCTGTGCGTCTTGTACGCCGCGCCTAAGACTAGATAAATCGTAGAAAGATGTGGGTAATGTATGGGATGCAATTGCAGCACCGAGAAAGATACTCAGCTCGTTGGAATAGATTTTTTTATCAATTTGCGGTCGTAATTTAATCGGGAGATGCAATTATGACGTTTGCTTTGACATTTGACAACGTACGAAGGACACCGTGAAGAATTTGCGTGTTTTTAGCTAATTAAAAGGTTTAATTGGTTATATTATGTTTAATTTAATAGAAAATGTTGATTGATATTGTTTTGAAGTGATAGTAGTGATTAGAAATGTAAAAAATGTTAATTTTTGTATGTGCTAAATTGGTTGCCTATAGTAAACGGAAAACATGTTGAATTGTTAATTTAACACAACTATAATGACTGTTTTAAAGCAGTTTTAAAGTAATTTACTTAAAATAAAGTAGTTATGCTTGAAGAGTGACTAATTAGCTATAAATTAGTGAAGAAAAAGATTAATTTGCGTTTGTCGTTTCTGGATTATCGTTAATTTACGTAGGCGTGTTTTACTGAACTAATACTGCGTATTTTCAACTTATTTAAACAATTTCCAGTGCTTTTAAATAATTTTAAAGCTGAAAAATACTCCCAACTAATATTACTATTCTTTGTTAATAATTTAACACTAAAATAACACAAATATAACGCGCACAAGTAAAAATACTCTCAATTTAAACATGAAAAACACAAAATCTTGTCTTTTTGTATAAAATTTTTCATGTTTTAAGGTAATAATCAATGGAAATGCTGTAATTCAATGCATATGAAACATGTGCGTGTTGCGTTTTGTCCACGGCGGCAAATTCATCGATTAATTTACATTCGTTCCGATCGAATTACGCCGCTCAGCGCATCGCGCGATGCGTTATGTCAACATTTTCAAACGAACGAACAAATTTGGCATTACCGCTGCTGGTTCAGCACGAATCCAGCTTTGCGCGTGTTGCGTAACTTCTTGATTCATTCCGTGCTAATATTTTACGTAATTGCCGGGATATCGCTCATCTCGTTTTCCTCGGCGGCGTTTCGCGTTGCAAATTTGCAGATTTCTTCGATTCGCGTCGATCGTTCGAATTTCCTGATGCTGCAACATATTCTCATCGTCACGTTACAGCATCGCGCGCTGAAACAATAATCCGCGTGGTGTTGTTGGCCGGAAATCGCCAGCGCAACAGGAAATGCAACAAAAACGAAGATGAAATCGAGATGTTATGAAAAATATCACAAAATCGCCTCTGCTGCCTTCAATTTTCGTGATTTTTCAATGAAAAAATCACAAAAGCATCTTTAATTAACACCCTATCGATTGTTAATAATAATAATTATAATTATTAATTCGCTGCGACGCAAAAAAAATGTTTAAACTTTGATTTGCGTAAAAAACATTAAAACCACAATAAAATGATGAATTATTACAAAATTTGCGCAGAAACAGCGTCAAATTCAATAAAACCTCATAAAACAATGATTATTGCACGCGATAAACAATTAAATAAACAAATTTGTTTACAAAATTTTAAATTACAATCGTAGTTTCATTTTTATCGATTTTTTGCGTTGTAACTACGCACAATCGATTAAAAATCGTTAAAACGACGTGAATTGTTTAAATTTATTTGGGAACACCCTGTATATTATGCCCGAGTTAATGACACGTGTAATTTATGCTAATTACAGCTTGTGAGATGCAAAAATCGCAGATGTGATGTATTTTAATCGAAAAAAGGGTTGCGCTTTGTTCCCGGCGTGATGTATCATCGTGTATCGTTTAATTGGTGTTTACCTGAGCTGGGAACAGAGGCATTGAATTGTTTTCCCAGCTACCTGCCGAGAAAAGGTGCGAGAAAGGGTTTTAAATCGAAATCGAAATCGAAATCAACAAAAAACTCGTTCGTCATTTGTAACCTGCTAGAAAATTGCTTCTAACTTTTGTGTATATTAATTTTTTGAGGTGAAAAAATTGTGATGGGTGGTTGAAAAGATGAGTTTTTGATTGGTAAAAGATTTGGTTAAAATAATTATTAGAAGTTTGTTTAAAAAATGTTTAAATGTTAGATTAGTAGAAAAATGCGGACTTTTATGTTGTTTTGTTTTAAATTTGTTATAATTCTTGTAATAATTAATATTTTTAATGAAAAAATTAGAGTAGTATCTTGAATTATTGCTCTTTTGATTGTTAAATATTTAGATAAATATTTATACAGGGAGTGGCAGAAAAAAAATTCCAAAGTTTATAAAATTTTGACATTTTTATAAAAGTGACCTAAAATCAACTTTTTACTAAAATCGTTGTAATTCATTAACTAATGAATATATTTAAACAAAAAAATTGTAGTAATATCTTCGATTATTGTTCTTTTGATTGCTTTTTGTTTCATTAAAAATATTCAAAGATGGCGCCACAAAAAATCCTAAACTTGCAGATATTTTTTTCTCTCATCAAAAACTTAAACAAAACAACAATTTACAAAATTGTTTATAATTCCCACAATTATAAACATTATCCCACTAAAAATCGAATCCTACACCTCAATTAAATACCCTATCAAACACAGCAAGCCGTGCTCAAAAATATCCAACCATGACGTCAGAAAAAAACAAAACGCAAACCCGCTGAATAAATTTTTCACATCGAGTGCGCGCGGAGGCATTTCGGGACCGTTTTGGTCATGCGGTGATGCATTCGGGCGTATTTTCGCATGTTGCTCAATTGAATTCGACTTGACCCAGTCCGGTAACCCAGTTCGGGCTTGTTGCAACTGCGGCTCGAACTTGTACTTGCGCGCCTCGTCGCCGTGAAATTTTTCGTCGCGATAAGCGCCGCCATCGCGCGTCTCATTATCGCGAGAGAGTGAAAGTGCATCGTTGGGCCAGCGATGCACGAAACCGACGTGCACCCACAAAACATGCCGATGATTCATGCACCGTACAATCACAGAAAATAGAGTTGCAAACAAACAGATTACGAAGAGATACAGTATTTAGTTTACTATTTTTTAAATATTGTTTTGGGTAATTATTTACGCGCAGATGTAAGCATTATCAAAAGAGTGATAATTTGAGATGTTGTGGTTGTTATTTTGTTTAAATGTGGCAGTTATTTTGGGAGTTATGCGTAGTTTTAGTAAAAATTACATTTTTTAGTTGAATTTTTAGAAAAGATGAAAATTTGTTAATTTTGGGAATTTTTTGTGGCGCCATCTTTGAATATTTTTTATTGGAACAAATAATAGTTGAAAGAGTAGTAATCCTAGATATAGTTGTGATTTTTTGGATAAAATGTATAAATTATCTTATAAGTTATAATAAATTTAATAAAAAACAAAATTTTCCATTTTTTGTGAGAAATCAAAATAAGTAAACTTTTGAATTTTTTGTGAAGCTCCCTTTAAATATTTTGAAACAAATCTTTTATCAATCAAAAGATTGATTATCGTAGATATTATAATGATTTTTTGAATAAAATATATCAATTATTGTTAAAGTTACAATAAATTTAGTAAAAACAAAATTTTTCATAATTTTTTTGAAAAAACAAAAAATCAAAACTTTCAAAAATTTTTGTGAAGTCCCCTTTAAAGATATCAAAACAAATCTTTCACCAATCAAAACATAACTAATCAAAGATATACTCATAATTTTACAACAATAAAATATCAATAATTACAAAATTTACAGCCTAATTACTAACCAACTAATTTTTACTCATTTCAAACCTTACTTTTTATAACTTTAAAAATTAATTACAACTCCCTGTATAACCCCACCCATTTAAAACAATCACCACCCAAAACAACAACAATTAAAACCCCCTCCATAATTTTCCCACAAAAAAACCTAAACATCTTCCGCCAATAAAACCAAAAACAAAATAAAAACGCAATAAAACCATCAGCAGCAATAACACGTTTATACGCAATAAAACGCAGGTAGATATGCATCTAGATATTATCCTTAAGGATGTAAGGATGTAAGAATTTCCCGTGGTGGCTGTCAGCTTGTCAGCAGTGGGCGCCGAGTGGCGCGCTGAGCGCAACTGCCATCGCCGGGGCATAAATAGCAAGCGCGCCAACTTACCATACTCAGTTCGGCGCATTCGGCGTCTTAAATAAGCCACACGCACACGCAAAGCGAAATCATCATCCTCACACACCGTGTGCTACTCAGTGCGTTCGTTTCACAGTGCAAAAAATGTTTTAAAATTAAAAAACTAAAAAAATAAAAAATAATAAAAAACATGTGTTATTCAAGTGTAAAATCCCTGCTCGTAGGGCTGTTAATCCTGGCGACGTTCGCGCACAGTGATACAATCACCACCTCCACGAGCGACCAGCAGCAGCAGCAGGGAGCGGAAAGTGCGCGCGGCGGCTGCGGCTCGTGTCAAATGCGCGAAGAACTAAAATCGCGCAACCTGGAGGCGATCAAAGGCGAAGTCCTGCGCCGCATGGGCTTCCAGACGGCGCCGAACATCACCGGGCGGGTGCTGCCGCAGGTGCCGGCGCATATTCTCGCCAAAGTGGACGGCGCGATGATGAGTGGTGGTGCGGGGGCGTACAGTGGCATGCAGAGCGATGAGCCGCAAGACTTCGAAGGACCTACCATCACCGAAGAGGAGGATGACTTTCATATCAAGACCGAGACGGTGCTCACGTTCGCGCAGCCATGTAAGTTGTGTGTGTGTGTTAATTTGGCGGTCGAGGACAGAAATCAATGCTAATCAATGCGTCTGGTCGGGGAATTATTCTCGCGACCAACCTAGTGACCTCTAATTAAACCTATGCTCATACACGTGAGCGTTTTTCTTTTTTTTTTTTCGTTTTCGGGATTTTTTTGTGTTGATTTTTTTGTTTTGAGGTTTAATTGTAATTAATAGTCACTCTGGTTAATTGCGAGGATTGCGGATTGCGAGAGGTTGGTGAGGCGGGCGTGAGGCGGTGCTATTTTAGACCGCGTGGGCGTCGCGACGCTCCGGTGTCGTGCAGGAGACGAGGAAGTTAATTTTAAGTAGGCACACAATGTCCGCATTCCGAAATCGGATTCACCATTCAGATTCATGTCCAGATACCAATTCATATTCGTATTTAGTCTGTGCTATATTAGACTTATACTTACATTTGCAAATTAAGAAAGTTTTAAGAAAATTTTAAATATCTCGGAGAATATTATTGTTAGGTTGATGATATTTACAGGATTGGTAGATTTTTTGTTTATGCATATTTTGAGATATTGATGGTTATTGTCAGTTTATTTTTTGTAGGAGTTATTGAGTTTTGAAAGTGATTAATTTTGATTTTTTGGTGATTTTTAAAGTAAAAATTTTGTTTGTTTTATGATAATTTCTAAAGTATTTATTGGATTTTATTAAGTTTAGTAAAAAATTAAAGAGAATTTAAAGAGCTTTAAAATGGTGTTATCATTATTTTAATGCTTAATTTTTTCCTACATTAAAACGAAAAATTAGTAACTTTTTCCTTATTTTAAGCAAAATTTGATAATTATTAGAAAATTTGAAATTATGACGTAACTATACAAACCTGAAAATAACAATCTTCATCAGTGATAATATGATATATTCTCTATCTTTTGTGATTTGAATTATTCTCGTATATCTATTAATTCGTAAGATATCACCATTTTTCTATATAAATTTGGATATTTTTGCATCATTTTTATCGAAATTCTAGACTAATTCCTATATAATTATTAAACTATTTAATTAATATAAACAAATTTGGTATCAAATTAAAGCCAATTTAAAGAGCTTTAAAATGACACTATTGAAGTGTTCATCCATAATTTTTGTCAAATACAAAACGTAAAATTGTTAAAAAATTTAAAAATTTAAGAAAAACGAAAAAAGATAAACAAAATCTTAATTTATGACAAAACTATCAAAGATACAAAATAATAATTTTCGCTGGTGATAAACAATAAAATTATCTATCTATTGATATATCCATCATTTTGATATCACTATTTATACCTGAGATATCACTAATTTTTATGCAAAAAAACCAAAATTTCATAAATATTTACTTGAAATCTCTGCCTATTTCTTTGATAACTCCCAAATTATACACGCAAAATAAACAAATTTACCATCAAATTAAAGCCAATTTAATACACTTTAAAATGATACTACTCTCAATATTTTATAAAATTTCTACACGCCTCCACAGACAAAAAAACCAACTAAAAATACTCAATTAAATATTCTATGTTTACGATCAAAATTAATGCCTTCTGTAACGGTTTAAGGGTTGCACAAGCATAAAAAACACCTCGTAAATAAACCTAAACCTAAACCAACTCAAGACTTAAGCGTTATTAAGAAAGTGAAAGGTGTTGCACTTGCGTTATCTGTCACGGACATCCTCTTTACCTGCGCCGCCCGGCGATTTCCGCCGGCCGGTGCCCGATGGGCACCTGCGCCTGCGGGCACCTGCCCTCCAACGGTCGGCGGCCGGCGGCAGGTGACGGTGCGGTGGCCGGGCCGCGCGTGACAACACACATCGAATGCAGGGCATTATTTCACTGTGCGAGTTGGTCACGCTGACCTTGGTGAGCGCGCGCCGGCCCCGACTGACCCCGAGGCGCTGACCTCCAGCGAAGAAGCGCGCGAGTTGCTCGCGAGATGCGAATAACAGCATCAATCAGCAATCACCAATTGATGCACCAAGTGACATACACCACATGTTCACCGAAGTGAAGAACATTTTTATATCGCAAGTCGCAAATTTTATGGTTTTTTGTGATAACTTTTAAAGTATTTGATGGATCTTATCAAGTTTAGTATCAAATTAAAGGGCGTAAAATAGCTTTAAACTAATATACAAGCTTTGTTATCAGTAATGATTCTAGTTGATATTATCAACAAAATAAGAGTTTTTGATATTTTATACGCGGCCATTTTTTGAAAGAAGATTATGACGTTGCTATCAAAGTTACAAGAGCAAAATTTTCAGAGATTGATAGTAGAACTCTTTATCTATCATTTTATGTATAAACAAATAATAAACCCCTTTTATAAGTGATAGTAATAATTAATTTTGATTAAAAATCAAAATTTTCAAGATTAAAATTTATATCAAATTTCAAACCTCAATAACTTTTACACAAATTATTCAAATAATTCGGGCTTAACATCAAATTAAAGTGTGTTTAAAGAGCTTTAAAATGATATCACTCTTTGTTATCAATGATATTTACGCGCGTCACTATCAATAAAATAAGATTTTTTTACGTTTTTACTATCGCCATTGTTTGTGACGTCATTATGACGTTGCTATTAATGCTACAAAGGTGATGTCTATACAGACTGATAGTATAACTCTTTAGCTATCATTTGATATATCTGTTATCATTCTACCTTAATTCTAAGTGATAATATTGATAAATTTAATATGAAAACCAAATTTTCATATTTTTTCATAAATTTCAATTTAAACCACAATAACTTTTAAATTATTATTGAATTTTATCAATTTTGGTATCAAATGAAAGATAATTTCAATACCTTTAAAATGATACTACTTTTGATAGTATTGTATTAAGATTGCGACGTGGAGCGTTAAAAATAAAACATTTTGTCAACCGACGGTGTATTGTTGTTGTCCTGCCGGCTGGTATGAAATAATTAATTAGTTGTGTGACCGCGATGCGTGGTGCATTCGCACCCGTCCGTGCGCTCGTCCGTGAACCTCACGAAAAAGAACAACAAGGCAATAAAGGCGACGATCGGCGGGCGGGCGGCGAAAATAGAAGACGCGCGCGCGCGATTATAATTAAACCGAGATGTGCGCGAGATGAGCGCGAGATGCGCGGCGATCTGGCGAAGAAAGGCGGCCGCCAGTTGACAGTTTGCGCGGCGGGCCGCGAATGCAATGCAATGCAAGTGCAATGATCTGCTCTGACCCTGTGAATTATGGATGCCATCGCGGTGCCACTCAATTGTACTCTACTTACGCGAACTTGCTGAGGATCCGGCCGCCCCGAATGCCGCCTTCATTAGATAACAATACCCAATTGGGTATGTGATACGCGAAACGGCGGCCAAGGACTCAAGAACAAAAAATCCACAACAAAAAAATGCATCAGAAATGATTACGCATCATTTCACACAGTTTTTTATCCATTGGGGCTAGAGTAATAAAGTGATAACAATAAATTTGATATCAAATTAAAGCCATTTTAACTAGCTTTCAATTGATATACATATTGTTTTTGGAAAGTTATTCTACTAAAGGTAAAACTTAAAAAAGTTAAAACTTTAGTTTTTTGAGTTGAGCCATCTTTGCGACGTCATAACAGAGAAGCCATGATAGTTATACTCACACCAAATTAATTATAGATTAATGCGTTATTGCTTTAGTATTTGGAAGTTGAACCATATCAATATCTTGATTAGTTATTTAATTATTAATTTTAATTTTAAAAAAGCAAGAAATATCTTTTATATTTTCATTTGATTTCTTTTTCAATTTTAATTTATTGATAACTACTGAACTAATTAAGATATTTCATTATATTTTATATCAAATTAAAGCACTTTTAATAAACTTTCAAATTATGTTAATTTTGTTTATGAAACATTTTGCTACAAGACGCTTAGTGAGAAAGAGTAAAAAGTGTGATTTTTGAGCTCAGCCATCTTTGTGACGTCATAACGTCGACGCCATGACAGTTATATTAACACCAAATTAATTATAACTGAATACATCATTGCTCAATCACCTAAAAGTTAAATCATGTTAATATCTTAATTAGTTCTGTAGTTATTAATTTTGAAAGTTATAAAAGCAAGTTTTATCATTTGAATTATTCATTATTTTTTTTTAGTTCTTCAATTTTATTCTTTGATATCTTTTGAACTAATTATCAGATTTAAATCAAATTTAGTATCAAATTATAGATAATTTTAATACGTTTAAAACAATACCATATTTATCAATATCCAACAATATTTCAAGCAATAAACATCAAAAACTAAATGTTTCTCGGAAAATTATCGATTTTTCGAGGTTATATCAACGCCATGACAGTTAATCAACCACCATCTTTACTCAACTCGTACCTATACTAAATACATAAACAAATAAAGCTCTACAGCTAATAAAATCATTATAAATCCATCGTGGCTTGAGTTTGAGTTTAAGTTTCTGCTTCAGTTTCAATATCAATAAACAAAGTAAGAGGAGTTAAACGATAAGCGGATGAATTCTTTTGTCTGGCCACTGCAGCACATAATAACAAATATAATTGTAATAATTAATTCGAGTTATTATTGTTTCAACATGCAGTGCAACTCAAAATAGACTCCACTTATCACAGCATTACTGCGACGCCGATAAATAAATAAATAATTATTGTTTCAGCCACACGCTAACAATAAACAATACGCCATATAGTATTACGTACATGATGCACTCAATTTAAATCATTTAATTCAATTTCTAGTTAAATTTCGAGGCATTTAATTTGATTTGAACTATTCAAGTAGAAGAAATGAGAAAAGTGTTGTATTCGTTTGACAGTTCTTGACCTCTGAGATTAATCACTGTTGACGCTGGCGGCAATGTCGTCGGGCGTGTTTCACAGCTTCACACTTCGAAACAAATCCGGAATGTGATTATCAATTAATAATTTCATTTAAATGGTGATAAAAAGTGAAAGTGTTAGGGTTCTAAGAGTTCAGAGAGGTTTGTGACGTCATAACTGAGACGCCATGATAGTTATACTCACACCAAATTAATTATAGATTAATAGAGTATTGCTCTATCATTTAATAGTTAAATCAAGTTAATATGTTGATTAGTTATTTAGTTATTAATTTTTAAAATTTTAAAAGCAAGAAATTTTGTTAAATTTTTAATTTTTGAGTTTTTTCATTTTTATTTTACTGATAACTACTAAACTAATTATTATATTGGATTGTGTTTGGCATCAAATTAAAGCCTTTTAATAAGCTTTTAAATGACACTAATATTGTTTTTGGGAAATATTTGTACTAACGTCAAAGTTAAAAAATGTAAAAAAGTGTGAGTTTTGGAGTTCCGCCATCTTTGAGACGTCATAACGTCGACGCCATGACAGTTACACTAACACCAAATTAATTATACTATACCACATTATCACTCTATCAATCAAAAGCAAAATAAACTTAATATCTCAATTAGTTTTAAGTAATTAATTTTTAAAGTTCAAAAAACAAGAAATTTCCACCAAATTTTTACGTTTTTCCTAATAAATCTAATATTTTCTATTGTTTCTATTCCAGATCCGCGGCTAAGACACACCTGGCGTAACCACGACATCCTCCACTTCCAATTCTCCGAAGCAATCACCCGCTACGCGGTCCACAACGCCACCATCTTCATCTACGTCAAAGGCACCGGCGACCGCAAACCATCCTCCACCACCTCCAACCCACCAATGGTCCACCTCGAAGTCTACAAAGTATACAAAGACTACGCAAATGGCGAAACACCCGGCCTCACCAAGATGGCCGCCAAAAAGGTACCGCAACCACGTGGCCGCGGCGACTGGCTCCAGCTGGACATAACCCCACTCGTCGCCGAATGGTTCCGAAGTCCACGTGAAAATCTGGGTTTCGTCATCAGCGGCACCAGCAATGGTAAAAAAGTCGTGGTGACTAATGCGACCGTTGATAATACCAGCACCAGCACGAATAAGGTACGGCACAGGTCAATGGTACCCTAGTTATCTCTGCTCGGGTGATTAATGTAAATATTTAGAACTCGTGCAACAATTAGACGCGTCCGAATTTGACGCAAAACGATGTGTTATCAATTGTGTGGCGCTATAAATAATTCACGCAAATGACGGGAGACTTCCGCGATTACGTATGTAAGCGTACATTATTATATTATATGGGTATGGAGATTGTTTAAACGATTGTTTCGGCGTCGTTGTTATCAGGTGTTTAGCGTAGCCTATACAATTCGCGAACAATCGATTGTTAAATATTGCGTGGTACATATTTTTGGAAAATTCGGTGTAAGTTTTAAAGTTGTTGGTGGATTCTCATTGTTTAAATTTTATATTAAAGATAATTAAATTATTTATGAGTATTAGAGTTAACTTTGTTATGGGGTGTGAGTTTTAGGGGTGAAAATAGATTAGTAATGAGATGTTTTAAAAATTTTGAGTCAAAAACGAAATATTTTAGTAAATCCGCGATAACTTTGTTAATAATAATCTGATTGAAATTATTTTTGTTACAAATAGTAGATAATGAAATTATTTACTAATGTAGGTGTTAATTTTGTTTTGGGGTGGAATTTTTCAGGGTGAAAATTGACCCGAAATATGATATTTCAAAGTGTATGACGCAATAACACAATATTTTAGTAAAATCGCGGTAACTTTTTAAATAATCAATAAATTTGCATTATTTTTGTTGTGAATAATAGATAATTTAATTATCTACTCGCGGATGTATAAATTAAATAGTTGCTATCCCTGCTAAGGATATAAAATTACACGCGAAGCTAAAGTTTTAAAAATCAATACCAAAAAACGTAATATTTGAGTAAAACCGTGATAACTTTGTTAATAATAATGAAATTTTAATTATTTTTTCTTCAAAACAAAGATAAATAAATTGTTTATTAAGATATTATTAAATCCCGGGGTAAACATGTTGCTAAATATTGAATAATTAGCTTTAAACTTAATTTATAACTGATTTTGCAAAGCTTTATGCATATTTTGTTTCATTTCACTAAATTTGTTGTAACATTGGCAATTGTTGCTAAATTTTAAAAACTTTGACTTAGAAAGATAAACAATTAAATTATCTATCAATTCTATTAAAGAAAAATTACTTTAATTTATAACAAATGGTCGTAAAACGTTTTCAAAGTAAACAATTTTCAACACTTGAAAATTACCAAAAAATCATACATTATTTTAGTAAAATTATTATAACTTCTAAAATAACATTAAAACTAATGTTATTTTTTAAGTAAATGATTGAAAATTAAATTATCTATCAGATTCCACCATAATATCAAACCCAAACGCGTGATTAATATTAATAAATTAATTTTGAAGTCACCGCAGCAAATTTTAGCTAATTTTTACTAAATTTACGATAATTTTTATACTGATAACACGATTTTAATCAATCCACCGGCAATTAATAGCCAAATAAATTACCTTTTCAAAAATATATAGTTTATATTCCATAAACTTTACTAAAACCCATAAAACGCCTCTGAAACCAAACATTACCCAATAAATAATTAATTCATCAGCACGTGGCGCGCTTATCTCCATCCTAAAACTAGCACACGTTTCGCAAGCGTACCACACGCACACCAACTTCTAGATAAGAAAATCAAAATTACTAACAAAATATCTCCGTTGTGTTGCAGGTACCATTCGTGGAAATAACCACACGAGAAGCCCGCCGCCGCACGCGCCGCAGCATGTCCCTGAACTGCAACGACCACACCAACCAATCCGTCTGCTGCCGCTATCCGCTGACAGTGGACTTCGAGTCCTTCGGCTGCGTCGGTGTTATCAGGTGTTTAGCGTAGCCTATACAATTCGCGAACAATCGATTGTTAAATATTGCGTGGTACACATTTTGGGGAATTCGGTGTAGGTTTTAAAGTTGTAGGTGGATTTTCATTGTTTAAACTTTATATGGAAGATAGTTACATTATTTATGAGTAATAGTGTTAATTTTGTTATGGGGTGAGAGTTTTAGGGGTGAAAATTGATTAGTAATGAAATGTTTTAAAAATTTTGAGTCAAAAACAAAATATTTTAGTAAATCCGCGATAACTTTGTTAATAATAATTAGATTTGAATTATTTTTATGTTAAATAGTTACCAATTAAATTATCTATCAACTAGCTATTAATTTTGTAAAGGGGCGTGATATTTAGGGGTGAAAATTGACCCGAAATTTGATGTTTCAAAGGGTATGACGCAATAACGCAATATTTTAGTAAAATCACAATAACTTTTTAAGCAATAAATAAATTTGCATTAATTTGGTTGTGAATAATAGATAATTTAATTATCTACTCGCGGATGTATAAATTAAATAGTTGCTATCCCTGCTAAGGATATAAAATTACACGCGAAGCTAAAGTTTTAAAAAGCAATACCAAAAAACGTAATATTTGTGTAAAATCGTGATAACTTTGTTAATAATAATCAGATTTGAATTATTTTTTCTTCAAAACAAAGCTAAATAAATTGTTTATTAAAATATTATTAAATCTCGGGGTAAACGTGTAGCTAAATATTGAATAATTAGCTTTAAACTTATTTTTTCAGTAATTTAGCAAAAATTACAAAAATTTAATTTAGTTTTACTAAATTTGATGTAACTTCCGCAATAATTGCTCAATTTTAACAAATTTAATATCAAATCATAAACAATTAAATTATCTATTAATATTGATAAGGAAAAACTACTTCAAGTCTTAATTATTGACCGTAAATTGCTTGCAAAGTAAACAAATTTTTAAATTTAAAAATGACAATAATTCTTGAATTATTTTAGTAAAATTGTTATAACTTTTAAAATAATAACAAAATTAATGTTATTTTTTAAACATGTGATAGAAAATTAAACTATCTATTAGACTCCACCATAATAGCCAACCCAAACGCATGATAAATATCATTAAATTAACTTTGAAATTACCGCAACAAAATTTTAAAACCAAAAAGCAAATTTTTACTAAATTTACGATAATTTTTATACTGATAAGACGATTCTAATCAATTTACCGTCAATTCATATCCAATTAAATTACCTTTCCAAAAATATATAGTTTATATACCATAAACATTATAAAAACCCATAAAACGTTTTTCAAAACCAAACATTACCCAATAAATAATTAATTCATCAGCACGTGGCGCGCTTATCTCCATCCTAAAACTAGCACACGTTTCGCAAGCGTACCACACGCACACCAACCGCCAGATAAGAAAATCAAAATTACTAACAAAATATCTCCGTTGTGTTGCAGGTACCATTCGTGGAAATAACCACGCGAGAAGCCCGCCGCCGCACGCGCCGCAGCATGTCCCTGAACTGCAACGACCACACCAACCAATCCGTCTGCTGCCGCTATCCGCTGACAGTGGACTTCGAGTCCTTCGGCTGGGACTTTGTCGTCGCGCCCAAGTCCTACGAGGCGCACTACTGCAGCGGCGACTGCCCGCCGATGACGCTCCAGAAGCAGCCGCACTCACACGTGCTGTACATGGCGTCGCCGGGGCGCAGCGGCGCCACCTGCTGCGTCCCGCGCAAGATGAGCGCCATCTCGATGCTCTACTTCGACCAGGAGATGAACATCGTCTACGGCACGCTGCCGGGCATGGTCGTCGACCGGTGCGGCTGTACGTAACCGCCACACGGCCGCCAACGCGTACTTACCGCCGCGCAGTGTGCATGGAGTGTGTGGCTGTGTGTGATAAACATTATCATATGATGTATTTCGTGTGTGTGTGTGTGGATGAGGACAGCAACAAATTTCGATGTGCGCGGATATTTTTCTAGCATTATTTTTCTATGGCCATGTGTGTAGGATCTCTCTCGGTGCCGCCGCCGCCGCCGCCGCCGCCCCCCATGTTTGAAAGCATTTACGCATTATTGTAGTAACGATTATTCTCAGTATTTTTACGCATTATAACTAATATTTAGTTCGTATCGACGCTGTTTCGGTACACACAACCTTTGTACATACGAATGATGACTTTATTTTGCTATAAGAATTAAAATAAATATCATTAATTATAAATATATCGGTGGAATTTTGTTTTCAACCACACTTATCTTCCTTAATTATTCCTTTTGTTGTTTTGGTGCCACTGTTGACTTTGGGAGCCATTTTATCCTGTAAAAAGTAATAAATTGTGTAAATTTTATGCATATTGTTATTAATAATTTATGTAGCTATGATTTGTAGTGAGAATGGTTAAAATCTGTTGATTATTGTTAAAGTTATTAACAATTTTATAAGCAAAATCAGTGATATTTCGTCTATTTCCAGAGAATAACTTAATTTTGATTTTTAAAGCATTTTTAGGCTTTTAAACATTATAATTTTACTATTTTTAATAAATATTCTTATGAATAGTTTATTTATCTATCATTTAAAGTTTAAATTATCAAAATCGGTTAATTATTGTTAAAGTTATAAACAATTTTATAAAAAAATAATTCTAATTTAATCTACACCCAACAAAAAAATAATTTTGATTTTGCAGGCATTTTTAGGAGTTTTAACAATTATTATCAAATGTTTTAATAACTATTCTATTAAATAATTTAATTGGCTATTATTTCAAATAACAATGGTTAAAATCGGTTGATAATTGTAAAAGTTATTAACAATTTTATAAGAAAAATTATTTTTAGATAATCTATGCCCAAAAAATTATACTTGTAACTTTGAATCAATTTTTAGGCCTTTAAACATTCATTGTTTAATGTTTTTGATGCACTTTGTGATAAATAATTTAATTTATTATCTTTTGAAGGGAAAATGACTCAAAAATAATAAATATTGCAAAAGTTATGAACAATTTTATATCAAAATGACTTTAACCTATTTTATATTTCTGTAAAACGTAATTTTGACTTTGCAATCATTTTTTCAGTACTTGTTAATAATATTTATATGCAAGTCATACATATTCTGAAAGCTAATTTAATTATCTATCAAATAAAGTCAAAATAATCAAAATTTCTTAATTAACCAAAAAATTATCTTATAGTTTGTAAGAAAATCAATTTTTTCAAAATTTTCCTACAAATTTCAACTTTAAACCTAATAAAACAGTATTTATAAATAAAATGAACCCTTTCAATATTATCTATAACCTAAAAAATTTAATTATCAATCAATTGGCCCAAGAAACATTAAAATTAAAACATAATTAATGTTTAAAACTGAAAAAAACGAACAAAAAACGAGTTATATCCACATTGCTTCGCCTTGCGTGCTGTGCGCTGATCCATAAATCATTAATTTAAATTAATTAAAAATAGATACGGCTGGAAATTATATTATCAACGCAATGTTACGACACACGCGGCTTCAAATTTTTATCCCGATAAACTCTCGGCAACCAAAGCTTTCGTCACGCATCATTTGTGTGTTTATTTATTGCCACAATTTCAAAATCCGAATTTTTCAGTTTTTTTCAATTGCCCAACACAATCAACAAGCCACAACAAACAATGAGTAAACACTTTATTGCGATACACGTCGTGATTAATTGCCGAACTTTGAGTCGCTTTCAGACTGCGATTCCGTCGTGCAAATTGATGTCAATTGATCGGGGCCGGTAATGAAAGTGTTGTCATTGTCATTTTCGGCGGTGGCCATCGTGTGTCTAGCCAGCCGCCGAGAGCAAGTGAAGAACACTTGCGCTGGTCATGGTCAATCAATTAATTACTGTTTACTTTCGGGTGTCGGCGATGATTAAAACTTTAATTGTTTGACTAGACAAAAACTCAAGCAAAACAAATCATTGGGATCTATTTTTGGTAAAATTTGCATAACTTTTGAAATTTTTGGTGGATTTTTGTTATTTTTGCTTTAATTTGTTTATAATTAAATTATCTATCCGACAATATTTATTATTTATGTTTTGGAATTTGTTTAAGACTTGAAAACTGCTTGTAAAATGAAATTTACTTTTTTTGACAAATTAAAGTCTTTTTTTAGAAATTAATTAATAACTCTTACAATTATCACTCGATTTATGTTATTTAAAGAGCCAATAATAAACAAATAAATTATCTATCAATAAATATATAATATTAATACCATCAGTAATTTCTAATGGTAGAAAAACGCTAAGAAAGTTAAAAATTGATTTTTTTTTTAAATCTAATTCAACAAAAAATGTTTTTGTTACTAAAATGTTTAATAACTCTTACAAAAATAATCCGATTTTAAAAATTTAACCATAAAACAATAGATAATTAAATTATCTATCACAAAATACCAAAAAATTTAATGTTACGTAACCTAAACCTTCAAAAACTCAAATCAAACAACCAACCAACAAAAATTCTTATATTTTCCCATAAATTCCCTCACAATTTCTATCTGCAAATAAAACCCGACGTGTACCAACATATTAAAGTTATTCTTAGCAATAATACCCTTCATTCTCAATTCGCTCAATTCCGCAAGAAGCGAAATGTCAAGTGACAAGTTAAAGAAAATGAAAATTTGATATGATACGACGATAGAGTGGCATGAAACGCGATCGGTGTGAGTCAGTGTGTTAGCGCTTAACCCCTTTCTCGCATCGAGGCGGGGGTGGGCACCCTTGGCTCAGTAACCCGACCGGCGGCCGCCTCCTCGACGCACGCAACGTGCGTTATCAGTGCACGCGTGTGTGGCGCACTCGTACGGCTGCACTAAATTACCAGCACCGGATGTGCCACCGGCGGTGCAAGGGGTTAAAATTGCACTTTGCACCAACGCACCAAAGAAAATACGGAAATTATAGTTAATTAAACCATTTTCACGCAAGTTAAAGTTGAAATAATGAAAATCAAATTGGTTTTCTTTGAGTTATTAAATAATTTATATGAAAAATTGTGTAATTTGACTTAAAATCGTTAATTTGACTTTGAAAGCAATTTTTTAGTATTAAAAATAATTTTAAATATAAATGTTATATATTTTCGTATAGATAATTTAATTGTTTATCATTTCTCATTTAAATAATAGAAATCTGGCAATTATCGTAGGAGTTATTAATTATTTTGTATCAAAAATGCAGTAACGGGTGTTTAAAGTGACTAAAAAATTGTTTTTGACTTCAAATTCAATTTTCTTAACTTTTTACATAAACAAATCTTAAACTATAATTATTTTCTGATAGACAATTTAATTATCTACTATTATCTTCTAAAATATTTAAATTCGGATGATTTTTGTTCAAGTTATTAACCAAAAACACTTTAACTCTCATAAAAACATAATAAACTCAATTTTACCACTATTTCATTCATAACTTCCGTAAAATTAAACATTTCATTTATATTTTTATCCAAAATTATACCCAAATAAATTCCCTATAAACTACTATCAAAGATTTTTGTTTAAACAATTTCTAAATGAGAAAAAATGAATGTTTAAGTTGAGGTATCGCTGAGTCATCCGCACTGGTCGCAGTAATTGATCGAGATCGAAAGTGTTTGAAAGTGTTTGACGCGTCATTGATCATCATCGCGTCGGCATCTTATTGTCATTGCCATTGCCATTGTCGGGCGAGTGACGTGCGCGAGATGCAATTAACGAATTCTGCGTCTAGCCGTTAGTTAGTTGAGGCGAGTTGTGCTAGGTTAGGGGTCACAGCCGGTTCCAGCCGGACAATGTTCTTAATGTTGCGGCCAGACGATGCCAAAAATTTCATAAATTATGCTAATAAACGCCAAAAAACGCATCTATATTAATCAACAAATGAAAATATCAACTCATCAAAGACATGTACTATGACCACTTATGATTTAATTCAATTTCACGGAGATAAATTTATATTTTTGAGTTGTAGTGATTCATCGTAGGCAATTTTACATACACAAAGTATTATACTTCATTAAACTTGCTCATAGAGGACGCAAAGCGTACTAAAACTTCCAAAACTTATTCCTATTCTTATTACCGCATTAATTAATGCAGTAAACTACTTAAAATCCATTTAAATCAAATTTCTACCGCAAAATAAGAAATTTAACCGAAAATGGAATAAAAAGTTTGATTTTTGATTAAATTGAACAATAATTACGTGCATGAATGTGCATGTTAGTGTTCTGTTATTGTAGCTTGTCTTGTCCCGTGTCTTGTTAGCCGCGCCGGCGTTTTAATTAGTTATTCATAAAGTGCGGCCGCGGCGCGGTGCGCGGCACGCATAATAAAGCATTCCGGTCGGGAATTCGAACGCGGCGCGCGCGGCACGCCGCCGATGTCTCCGTGTGGCGCCTCGGCCCACGCGCTCAACACCTGGTCACCAAAGGTGTATCGCCATACACAACGAGTGATCCGCTCACAACACCATCGGCACCGGTGGCCAACGTTCAACGTTTGAAAATTTTAGCGTTAATTGTGAGTTTATTACCGATAATCTTAATTAATTGAGCTTTAAACTCTTTAAAATGATGTGAATTACATTTAATTTTGTAATAATCAAAAGGTGGGTTAATTATCTATCAAATAAAGTTAAAATAATTAAAATCGGATAATTTTTATGAAAGTTATTGATAAAAAACTAAGAAAATTTCTTTAAAAATGATTTTTTTGTTTGTGATTTTAATTTGTGTGTAATTAATTAATTGACGCCGTTTGATAAATTCAAAATAAGTTGGCAAAGTGCGTGATGATGGCGGAATTAATATTTGGCGATAAATTAGTGTGAAGCGGTTGCGCGGGCGGCGCGGCAGCGGCGAAACGCAAGAGAAGAAGAAGAAAAAAACGCACACAGAATAGAGCGAGGAGCTGCGAGCGCATTGCCGCCGACCGCCGGCGGCATTCGGCGTTAGTCGCGATCGGCACGCCGAGAGACGCGCATCGGAGGGCGCCTACACACGACACGCCACCCCCCACACACACACCACACCACACACATTACACACATACACACTATCACACACACCCGCCGCCCCCAACACACATACCACCAATCTGTACACACTTTCCACCTGCCCCGTGTGCCCGTGTGTCACGTGCGTGATGCGAAGCGCGCCCGTGCCCGTGCCGCCGCCGCCAGTGACCGCGTGGTGATCGGGGTGGCACTCCGGCGCGTGCCCCCCAACCGGACATGGCCAGCCGCAGCCACCGCCGCCACCGCCATCGTCAGCCGCCCGACGCCCAGCACGGCAGCACGCCGCGCCACCAGGTGCAGGTGCTGCGCCATCGCGCCATCGCGAGATAATACCGTGCGCGTCGCCGCCACCGCCGCCCACCCTCAACGATGATAGACTACTACTCAGCAACAAAGTGCCTCACGTAGTGAAACCGGACCCAAAATACACCCACACACACCCAGACACACACGCAACACGCAAATACCGCCCATACACTGACTGACTATACAACACTCACACCCCAAACCCACCCCCAACACACACACACACACACACACACCCTGCACCCCTTAGGGATATTATGGCAGTTCACACGCGGCGCGCGCCAGTCACCGTGCTCGTCGTGCTCGTGCTCGCCGTCGTCGCCGCCGCCGGCGCCAGGGATAGGCTACGGCATCACGCCGCCGCCGCCGCCGCAACAAATACTCCACAACAACGCCAGAATCCCCTCGGGGACGAGTTGGCGCGATCGCTTAAAGGCCTCGAGGAGGCGGTCGCGTGCCCCAACTGCCTCTACAAGCATCACCATCCGGCTGGTGAAGCCCGTGGTAGCACGCAGCCGGCCGCTGCCGCCGACGCGCTGAGGCTGGAGGCCATCAAGAGGCAGATTTTGTCAAAGCTGGGCCTTCGCCATAAACCGAACGTAACGCTCGCGGCGTTTCCACGTGAGATTATCATGGAGACGCTGTTTCGCGCCGAGGATGGCGCGCACGATGCGCATGATCCGCATGCTCAGCATGCTCAGCAATCGGCGAATCCAGCGTCCACGGGTGCTGCCGCCGCTGCTGCAACGGCGGACAACACCATCGACGCAGATGACTTTTACGGACGCACGTCGGAGATTATTTCGTTCGCCGAGCAAGGTACGCATAGTTTAAACTTAATTATTTATATTAAAAAGTATAACTAAGCGTATAAATTATATATTTTCGGAAAGAGGGACTAATTGTTTATCAAAATATGCAAAAATTAAAAAAATCTGTTGATTAGGACGGAAATTATCAGCAATTTTCAAAACCAATTCAAATTACGCAAGTTTTCAGTAAATTTAGACTTTGAAACAGTATTTTGCCCTTTTAAAATAATATTTTAGCAACAAATATATCATTATTCGATAAATTGTTTAATTAATTGTTTATCTATCAACCACAGCTAAGATTATTTTAAAATATTAATTATTGTAGAAATTATCGTCAATTTTCGAAAAAAATGAAGTACAAAATTTTGCACTTAAATATAAGTAGACTAAAGTCAACTTTGAGAGTAATTTTCGTCCCTTAACGCAAATATATTACCAAATATTTTAATATCTACTCATAAATGAACTAATATCTTATCAATATGAGCAAAAATAATTAATATTTAATAATTAATGTCCTAGTTATCACCAATTTAAAAAAAGAATGCAAGAAGTACTAAAAATGCGCAAATTGAAGTTTAGACCTAATTTAAGAGTTGTTCTCATAATCTTACCCCTTTTAATCAAATATTTCCTGATTACCAATTAAATAATCTACCATTATAAGCAAAAATGTCAGAAGTCTAATCACTAGATCAAAAGTTATACCCAAATTACTAAAAAATATCAATTTACCACCAAAAAACCACTAATCATGTACTTTAACGTTAATTAATTTGCACTAATTAACGTTTCAACACGAAATTTATAACATATCCTGAAAGATACTTTAATTATCTTTAAACCAATCTAAAATCCGTGGAAATCCCCCAATCGATGCGGAAGTAATCGGCAATTTTCGAAAAAAGTTACCTGACTCACGTAAACTCAATTACTCGCGTAACTTGCGTGCGAAAATGTGTCAAAGTGAAAACTAACTCCGCCGCCCCCTTCCCCACACACTGTAAGGCGGCTAGCAAAAGGATGGGTAGTTTTTACCTCGAGTGAGAAAGAGGTGGGCGTGCGCGCAAAACTTTCCTTTCGATTTCACGCCGCCGCTCGTCCGTTTTGCACGTGCCGAAAACTACCTGTATGATTGCGTCCGCCGGCCACCCCCAAACACCACCCCTCCACCCTAACACCGTAAGGTGCGACACGAACCACGTGCTTTCTCATCTCAAGAGTGGGTAAGTGAGTACCATCAACCCCATGGGGTGAGGGTGGAATTCGCGCTCGCGTATCGCTCAATCTTTCAATCTCGTCGTCGAGAAAAGTTAGCGCGGCGTAATCGACGAGTGATTTATCGAATGCTTCCGCTTGATGCTGCGAGGGGGGGCGGCGGCAGGGGCGGCATGGGTGAATGCTTTATTTCAATTTGCCTCCCCCTTTTGTGGTATTCCTTATTCGCTATGCAAATGACGAAAAATTTGTCTTCGAATGCAATTTATTCGAAGTGATTGCACACACACGCACCCACCCCTCGTCATCTCAAGCCTTCGGGGGGGGCGGCGTTATGTAAAACTCTAATAAAATCCCGTACATGTGGTGTGTAGCCAAAATTCCGCTCTCCTCTTTTTTTTTCTCTTCTGCTCTCGTCGTCGTCGTCGTCTTGCGAGATTTAGCGATTCGAAAGGGGTGCGTGCGGGCTTCTTTTCTTTTTGCCGCCGTCGCCGCCGCCGCCCCGCGTGCACTACATTACTACATCACATGACTGCGCGCCCCGCGCAGCGCGACGCTGGCGGAGCAGCAAAAGTATTGTAGTAAAAAATTATGCTCCGAATGTGTCTGCTGTTTTGGTGGGGCGGCAGCGGCAAGGGGGCCGCGGATCGATGGCGGCTGGTGCCGGCTAGTCGGCAACGGCACGCGGCGCAGTCTGCGAGCGGGCGTCTGTGCATGCGAAGGAACAGCCGCCGCCGCCGCCGCCACTACCACCCTCCCCCCCCGCCCGCCGCCTGCCCCCACATCCCGCACGCGCAACCCTGGATTACTGGAACATCCCCCGGAATGCGTCCTACAATGTTACATAATGTGCTTTTAATTTTTTCCACAACCACGAGACGCGGAGAATCACTGGGGGCGGCAAAAATTTAAAAAAATTAATTTCCAACAAAATCAACCCTTTCAGACCCGCCATAGACTAAAAGTCTAACAAACTTTTATCAACCACCCCCACCGCCCCCGAAACTGCTAAGATATAGTCGAGATAAAAACAGCCATTTATATTTCCGTCTATTATCATATTTCGCAAAATCAGTGCGCCAATACATCGCGATAGTAATGGATTGTTATCATTATCGTTAATATATTCCGCTGGCGAGGGGGCGGCGGTGGCGGCAGCGCTTTATGTATGCACAACAGCATAAGATTTACGATTGTTCGAGAGCCGGCTGGCGGCTGGAACATCCAACGAACAAAAAGCATAGTAGAGAAAAGGAAGCGCGGTGGCGGCGCGGTTGGTTGGCCCGTGGTATGAGGCACGCGTTATGAGTGCATGCGGTCGGCGCCACCGCCGCCACACAATTATATTACCAATGTGCACTGCCACTGCATTGCCGCCCCATATACCCATATACTCACACCTTTGATTACGTGTAATTGCAGGCGTCCGTGTTAACGGTAATCGCCTGGTGGAGTTCCGCGTGAGCGCCGAATCGTCGGGCGCCGCCGGCGGGCAAGAGTTCCGCGTGCGTTCGGCGACGCTCTGGCTCAAAGCCGACATCCGGCACGCGCGCTCCGCCAAGTGCAAATCCACCGAACTATACGTCTTCAAGTTCCTGGCCGCGCTGCCACGATCTGTCAAAATCAACTCCAAGGTAACCTCAAACACCGAAAAAAGACACAAAATGGTGGATGACACAGCACGTTTGCATACATATACGTTATACTTGTACTCACTTTCTAGGAATTTAGCGAGTTGACAGAGGATCCAGTCGCGGTGCAGCTTGATGAAACCGCCTCCGGCTGGCAAAAAGTCGACCTGACTCGTACAGTCCGCCAGTGGTTGGAATCAACGGATTCCGATCGTCTGCGACTGTTTGTCGACTGCGCCTGCTGCAGCAATTGGCAGGTTAGGTTATTCAACGGTGACAGCGCAGACCCCGACCGGCCATTCCTCGTCGTGCACACCGATCCGACGACGACGAAACGTGTGCGAAGACGTGCGCTGGACTGCGGTGTGGACTCCGGCAACGCCTGCTGTAAGCAACGCTTCTACGTCAGTTTCAAAGAGTTAGGCTGGGATGACTGGATCATCGCACCGCAAGGTTACTACGCGAATTACTGCCGCGGTGACTGCGGCCATCATCGTGGCCCCGAGGCGTATGCAACTTACCATACGCACGTGCTCGAAGAGGTGCGCAAGACGCACCATCTCAGTGGTATGCAACCATGCTGCGCGCCGTTGAAGTTCTCCAGCATGAGTCTGATATATTACGGCCCGGATAGCAACATCATCAAGCGTGATCTACCCAAGATGGTCGTCGACGAGTGCGGCTGCCCGTAGATGCATCGCTGCGCGAAAACCACAAGTGCCACAAACACACACCTGCAACCCACACAACACACATTTAAAGTGACTATAAAAATGAATACCAACCAACCAAAAAATATTTAACAATATTCTAAGATTATCGAAATATATACGAATACACACGCATGTTTCGAGGAACCTATACTCTATTGCGCAAAACAAAACAATAATGGCGGCACTGCACTCCACTCACACACACATAAACACACTGTATGTGAGTTGGAGTACAGCGCCGCCATCGAATAAACCTATAAATATTTAAATATTGTAAACAAAATTAACAAATACGATGATGATGATAATAATAAACTGTAAGCTATAAGGTAGGTAGATTTTCTATCGAATTTTTCATAAATATTGTTGTTGTTCATTATTAAAGAAAAGGGAAAACGACACACACACACACTGGCAAACACTGTTTCAACAATAATTAATTAAGCAATACTAAACATAAAACAAGCGCTGATAACTATTTTAAGTTCCAACAACTAACTAACATGTGTCGTGTGGAAAATAAACAGGCGTACCTGTCACTAAACGCGCTTTTGACTCACCCGGTCGTCGTATTTGCAGCTATAGACTCTTACACAGCACAAAACATATCACTAATTTCATTTGATAGAATTCAACATGCAATTCAGTTCGATTGACAGTAGTTTTGCGTAAAATGACAGAAAATGACATTTTTAATGGCGCGAAATTTAAAATTCAAACATACCGCATCCATATTATCTATATGATCTTGCATTGACACTTTATACATAAATCTTACGTTTTTTAACCTAAAAACTCACTAAAACGATGCCGAGTGTACAAAAGCAGCGTTTATTTTGAATTGTACGCCGCCCATTGTTGATAGTTGTACATAAAATTGTTAAACAAACAAAACACACACACACACACCTGAATCACACTCCATTAATCGAAGGCGAAACTAATATATATAGACAATAAAAAAACCTCTTCAAAAACTTGTCTAAAATAAAGTCTAACGGAAACAGAAAAAAAAGAAACACTGTTTCGTTTATATATCTAACTCTAATTCTTCTATGAAAAATGAACGCGGACAAACTATGCTCAGTCAGAGAGTCATCATCCCCACTACACACACACACTACACAACAATTAATAAACTAATGATGAATACCAAGGGGGATGAAAACGCGCTAAACACAAATTCACATGAAAAACATGAAAAACTACCTATGTAATAAATGATTTTCTCATTTGCACGCGTCTTTCATTCACCTAACCTCAAATTATTCACAAATTATGTTTTAACCTCAAATTTCAGCTGAATTTTGTATCGGTGAGTATTCTCTAGTGTACTTGACATGATTCTCGGTCGTTACTCTTGTCTGTCTTTAGGAATCCTTGGATTTTTTGCGCGTTTTTCGGCGAAAACTCGTGGTTAATCATGCATAGATAAAATAACTCATCAATCATCCTCGCATGCACAAGTTTTGATGTGCGCTCGTAAAACCATTCAGCGGCCGCCATTAGAAACTTTCCGACATCAAAATACCATTTTCATATTCATATTCACGGATTTTACATTAAATGTACACATTTTGCGCTTAGATTATATTATTATAGGTCTGGATGACTTCCGGTAGTGCTTCGAGTTTGTCCAGCATCTTTGCGGCGTCGGTCATCTCCTGGTCAGTTAATTCCTGACCAATTGTTGGGATATATTCAACGCTAGCGCTTGTAACAATATAGGTTTTCTCTAAAACCGCGGCGACGTTTTTCAGACTGCTTGCAGCGCAGTGAAACTCGAGATGGTCTTCATCGTTTATTTTCACGTCTTCAGCGCCGCATTCAATTGCATCATCGGTGGCTTTTTCTAGAATCACTGCGTCGTCTTTACCTGCTGGACGCTCGGCTATAACAATGCCTTTTTGTTCAAAACAGTGTTTTGCTCCACCATCTGCATATTTTGAACTGGTAAGAGATTTTAATAAAATTTTGTTTTTAATTTTTGTATAAAATGTGATTTTACCCGTGTTTCTTCATAATTGTGCTTATATTTTGCTTTGCATGATGTATATGTTCAGTGAAGAGATCTACAAGCACTATACAACTTCCAGGACCTCTAAAATATCAAAATAATCGTTTATTTTATTGAAATAATGTAAAATAAAATATACCTAATCTCTATTTGGTATTTTTGTCCTGTGCCCTTTGTAGAGGCGCTTTTTATGATGCTTTGCACAGTTGCCCCAGGCATATTTGCTCTTCTAGCTTGTTCGAGGACTTGTTCCAGGTTTATATTCAATTTAGGATCAGTAGATCCACCTTCTACAATGAAAAGTTTATAAAATCTGCATTAATATAATGTGTAGATGATGATTTAATGTGTTTTTCATACCCTGAATAGCTATTTTCATCTTTTGAGCTAGTTTTGTGAACAATGCACCACGCTGAGCATCTTTAGCACCTTTTGTGTGGCGAATATTCGCCCATTTGGAATGACCAGCGTATCTTTTACATAAATGCTGTGCACAATCAAAATTCAACGCTAAAAACCGTGCGTTTACGCTTGGAAGAAAAGTTCTAAGCATGTTTATTATCCTAAAAGTTGTACACTTGAAAAACTTGAATGTTTTGAGGTTATGCGGTGAACTTATGTAAAATACACGCTTGTCATTATGCAACCCATGATAAAATCATCAAATAAACACAAAATTCACCCAAAAATGTCAGGATTTTATACATAAACACATAATTGTACTTTATTGTATATTTGCATCGCTAAAAAGGTTGTTGAAAAACGTTTCAAAGGTCCGGACGGATAGTCAAGGCACAAATACTGATTTAAAAATTGGTCGGATGTAAGTACAAGTACGAATGGCACGGTCCTGCTGCTGTCGGTGGTTACTGGAATGCATCATAAATTTCCCTACAAGCTACGAACAAACAAGCGAAAAAAAAATATCTGTGTATAATAAAATATGCTCTATAAAAATCTCTCGCGCGCGTGAGCCGCCATCGTCGCCATCATAGTCGCTAATATAAATACATATTCCTAAAAAACGCGATCGCCTCTTGTAAAACTGCTCGAAAAGGTTGCTTATCACATAACAAGCGAAAGTTATTGCCCAGCGTCCAACTATAACTGCGTAGTGATGACGGATTTACGCATTATCTTCGGCGTGACGATATCCTGCACCAGCCACGGCGACAAACTATTCAAAGTCACACCTGTCACACCGTTACAACCATTATTCGGTTGTTCTTCATCCTCATCACGTCCATCGGCTGCATCTAGGTTATTATTGGCCATGTCAGGCGTATCTTCATTCTAAAAACATAAAAAAATTAATTTTCATTAAAAACTAAATAAAAAAAAACATAAAATAACTTAAACACTTAAAGCATGCGCACTAGACAAACAAAAACAATCTTACGTCATTTTTCTCATCATTTGCATGATTCTCATCATGATTATTATTCTCAACGGGATCCTGAAAGGGATTCTCGGTGATAAACGGATTGCCGAAGGGATTCACATCCAAACCAGTGAAAGGATTATTATCCTCAAATGATAACAAATCCTCTACATCTGCGGTACTCGACGGAAGACTCAACTGCTGCTCGGGGCCATTCAGCATGACGCGTTCCAGTTTCCCAGCGTCCGATTGGCCGAAATAGGTTACAGTCACAGGAGTAGCACTCCTGGCAGGTTGTGTAGTGGGTAAACTCGCGTTAGATGGCGGTGTAGATGCGCCGCTTACAGCAAGTGTTAATTTATCACCGCCCTTGGGATTAAAAATCAAGCAAAACAAGCGAATGTAAGCAAAAACAAACACAAAACAAAAACAAAACATAGTTTACTTTAGTCACGACCGTGAGAAAAGTATTTTAATCACAACTTTAGTCACGACCGTGAAAAAAACAACTAAAAATACTTACAACTGATATAAAAGTAGCTGCAGCATTCATTGAAGTGATATCTTCATGTGTGGCAGCAGCAACAAACATTTGATTGGTCAATTTAGTACCAATAGCTGATTCCTCATCAGCTTTAGCTTTCAAAATGTTGCATTTCAGTTGACTGGGTGATAATGGTTTAGGTTTAGCTGCTGTTGATGCGAATTTATTAATATTGTTAGGTATTTCCGAAGGAAGACTTTTTATCGAGTCTAAATCACCTGCTAAACACAAAATATCACTAATATTATCAAAATTTCTATGAAATATTAAATATTTACCATCATTTTGCACATTCCTAGCCTCATCTCGTTGTATTCCACTCAGCGTCTCTTTCGCAAGACTCTTGAGCAATACATCCAGCTGTGAATCAGCATTTGATGGCGTAGGGCTGATCGGTGGGCTGCCTAAATTCGAACCACCCGCACCACCACCACTGCTAGATTTAATGGAATTCTGTCGGGTTGATCCACTGGGGGTTAAACTTTTCGTACAATCATCGTTTACTTTACAATAAAGCGGTTCAGATTGTGATTGTGTATCAGCATTACTACTTGACCCTGCTGCTGCTGTGTTTATATTTATACTTGTTGTAGGTTCAGGTGGTAAATCACGTTCGCGTAACTTTTCCCTTAAAACATGACTTTGCCTCTTTCCATACCGCTGACTCGGTCGTCTTTCCAACTGCACAGTCCGCCTAGCTCTATTCTGATGCGTGCTTTGATACTCAGTCCTCCCTGAGTATCTAAACCTCGATCCCATGCGGAAGAAATTCTGTCGGGCATTCGGTCCCTTTACAGGCGCTTGCAGCCTGAAGAATCCATGATGTTCAATCGCGCATTTCCACAGATGTTTGCATGCTTTTTCGTTGTGTAAACGAAACACAAACGTATGCTCCTGTTCGCGTCCCGCATCATCATCTTCGACTACTACTAATGTTAATTTTTTCTTTTTAAAGTTTAATTTGCCGATTTTGGGCCAGAAAAACAGCCCGATTTTCTGATTGTTTTCAAAGACTAATATTCCAGTTGGTGTGAGCCCAAGGCGGTATTCCATGCCGTCTTTGCCGAGGACAATGTGCATATCCACGCCGTACATCTCCAGCCATTTCACTTTGTTTAAATAAGCGATCTCAGCCTGTGCAGGCGTCAAACCGCGGCATTTTTTAAACTCGTCGAGGACTTCGATCTCCAGCTCTTCGGTTTGATTAGGAACAAAGTGGAATTCGGAAACTGTAGCTGCCGTGTGTTGAGATTCATCAAAATCACCCAATTCGGCTAAAAACATAAAATTTAACATAAATTTGTTTAAAAACAGATTTAAAGCTACTAACATTGCAGGGCAAGCGCAGATAACTCCACTGCGGTCTGATGTGGACATTCCAGCCTTCCATCGAGGATATCCTGCTTCAATTGGAGGAAAAACTGATACCTTGTGAGTTCTTCCCGGAGATTATTCGGCTCGGAAGAGTAGAACTTCACTTTAAGTCTTAGAGTATAAGGAGGACCAACTAAAAATATTTTTATTATTTTTTTATTCAAAGTTGTGAATAACTTACTTTTAATTTGTTTTTTAATTGATTTTGTAGGATCCAGCCAGTGTTTAACATGATTAGCATCAGTAAACTGCAGCCCAAAGTAATCCTTCTCGATTAAATCCAGCGAATAGAAGACCTGTTCGTATAAATCGCGTGCCTCGGCTTTTTTCTACAAGAAAAACAACGTGGTTAATGTCTGTGGTGATGAAATTTGATGAGAAATGTTTATAATGTGGGAGAAATTACTGTTTTCCATTGTTTTTTAGTAAGTATTATGTAAAATATGTCAGTGTATTATAAACACGTGAACTTATGACCGCGTTTTTGTATTTTTACGTTGAAATAACCCTTAAAATGTACGGTTTTTATATTTTAAGGGTTAAAAATTTAGTTTTTGGTTAATAACTTTTTAATGAATTAATATTTTTAATTGATTTTTGCATAAGATATGCATATGTTAATTCTGCATTTATGTTTAAAAGAATTTTTAATTTATCTTGATTAGTTTAAAAGTTATAAACAAAAAACTAACAAAAAATCCATCAAAATATTAAAAATTTAGTTTTTTGTTTATAATTTCTTAATTAATCAGTATTTTTAATTGATTTTTGCACAATATACGCAGAATTAACCCCTAAATATATATCTAAAAGAATTTTCAATTTATCTCTATTAATTTAAAAGTTATAAACAAAAAACTAACTAAAAATTAACTTAAAACCTAAATATTTAGTTTTAAGCTTATAACTTTTAAACAAATGAATATTTTTAATTGATTTTTTCACAACATACGCAGAATTTGCTACTGAATATATTCCTAAAAGAATTTTCAAGTTATCTCAACAAATTAAAAAGTTATAAACAAAAAACTAACAAAATCCAAATATTTATAACTATCGCGGTGTTTTTCACTAAATAAGAATGAAATTTCCACTATTTGCTTACAGATAACTCAACAGATAAATCAGTCCCATCCAAAAGGATAACCCGACATAGTATCAAGTTCTTGTTCGACGCCTTGCCGCCCCCTTTCAGCTGCTGACGGCTGTTGACGTGGTGGTCGCCGTTCCTCGGCTTGCGGCCGCTCAGAAAGCGAAACATTGCGACATCACACAATCACCCCTCAACGCATCATTCCCCTATACTATCAACCAGTCTAAACACGAAATATTTGCGTTATTTACGCCCGAAACACGGACGAAATCACCACAGCCGCCATTGTACAACACTACACTAGAAAAGACACTAACTTCACTTAAGTTTAAGTCAATACACACGCGATTTGCACAAATCTACGACGGTAAACAGTGGAAAATGCGCGTGGATGACTCACGCCGCTGTTTACGACTGATAAGCGGCGATCTTTGGATGGTTATCATCAAACAAAATGCGAGAACGGGTGGTTATGATGTTGATTCGTTGGTGTTGGTAACGGTTCTAAGTCAGTGAAATTCTAGGGACTTTTGTGTGGAGGTTAGTAACAAGACACACCTGTTGAGCTGATGTCATGACAGCATGGAATATTTGAACTACCGTTAGGTTTTAGACGAATAAACATTACAAATCGATATTAATAAATGATTTGATCTTCTTGACGCAGCGTTCGTGAGGTCGGATGAGTAACGAGTTGCCGTAGATGGTAAATTGCATAGATCCAACGCGGAAAATGAAAACGGAACCAGATTTTAACAAAACTGCAACAAAATTTTGTTAAAATATATAATTTTAAGTGAATAATTAATGTTTTACTTTTTAATTGGTTCTTAGGTGTGACTATTTGAAATGTCTGTTGTGTTTCCAGGACGATTGTACCTTCCATGCCAACATATGATGGATTATTAGACTTTTCCACTGTGATATTTGCACCTGTCAATTCACTTTTAGCTAAAACACTGTGAAATTGTGCATATTTATTATCTGTAACATCTGGGACTTTCTCTGAGGCTAAATGTAGAGATGCCAGGCATTTTGTCATATAACTATGCCACATGTTTCTCATTTCTTGCAAAGCATTGTAATTCCAGTCGTTTTTGGTAGTTTATCCAAGTTGTTTTCTCTTCTCATTTGTTTTGTTAAATATTTCTTCTTGGGGCGATATTTATACTGTTTAAAATTAAATAAATGTTTATTGTTGATTTGTTTATGTATTTTTAATATTATACAACCTTGTCTTTTGGTTTTCTGATTTGAGTGATCATTCTAAACGTGAAATCATTTTTGTGTTTAACAAACAATTTCGGTTCCATTTCCGAAGCAACAAATTGCATTAATTTACGCTCTGGAGTGTCCAGCGGCTTGCCGTAGACATCCATAGGTAAAGGTTCGTATAATATGTTGTTTTTTGTTGAAGATTTATGTGATTTCTGCATTTTGTTAACAAATTTCGTGAAGAATCACATTGAAACATGAAAATCTTTGGTTATACTACCACTAATTCCTCAAAATCACCACTAGATGGCGTGGTGATTGAAAATAACAATTTATGACAATTACAGTGATTATTTAATAAAAACAATCGTATATTCCAAGCTATAAAATGTTTAATTAGTGTGCAGACACTCCCCAAAGACGTAAGTATAAAAATCCGCATAAATTCCCACTCAAGGTGCGGTTTTCCATTGAATTTTGTTTAATCAATACTTGTAAAGTAGGTTAAACCCACCCCAATTCCTGTTTCTCTTAGTTTTCCACCCCTTGTGCAACCCTACACAACCCTACAGGTGTGTTCCGGCTTATGTCATCATTATTAATATTTCAGCCGCGTTGAAACACGCATAAAATCATTTCCTGGGCAGTTACAAGAAGAAAACCAAGATGGTTCGAGTAATATCAGTGCACCACTTTACAAACCAGCAAGTTTTGACTGTGGAACAACCGACAGCGTCTACAGTCGCACCGCCAAACCGACTTCTGCTTGCTTTATCAAACCACAGCGTCGAGGTGCGTGATTTGCACCTGGACGGAGAGGTTTTATTCAGTTTTCCAACTGTTGATGAAGTTGCACAGATATGCCACTGCATAAATGGTAAGAAAATCAGTTTTTTGTATAAAATTAATGGATTAATGTGTTGTGATGTGTTTTAGGTGATTATGTAGCAACTCTAGAGTCGAAATTCAACCGCCAGAACCGCGAGTTAAACTTCTGTCGTGTTTACATCAATTGGGACTCAGTTGCAGCTCTGCAACAGTCAAAAATGAACCACAGTGGAGCTAGTTTAGGTGCCACTGAATGTGGCATGGTGCAACCGATGCGTGCGAGGATTGCAGGACGTGTTACACCCACGACTAATCAAAGTGAGCTTGGGAGTTTAGAAATGATTGAGATTCCAGTCAAGCGGAATCCGCATTTGATAAATGTTTGTCAGGTATTGAAACATTGTTAAAATCATGTTTAAATGTTTAATTGTAATGAATATTGATGTTTTAGATATCGGGGAATATTCTAATTGCTTCAGAGAAGATTTTGACGATTTATACGTTTACTATGAAGACGCATGACATTTCAAAGTTGAAGTTTATAGATTTTGAAGAGACGCCAATGTTTATCGAGGTGTCATTCAAGCCCATACAAGTGGAAATCGCTGAAAACTATCTTGCTTGTATGAGTTCAGATGCTATGCATCTAATGCGCGTTGTTTCTACTAGTGGGAAGTGTGATATCGTCCAGGAGAACGATTTGAATGAGAGTTTTAAGTGTAAAGTATCAAAATCACTGATTTTTATTATTTTTTCTACTTCTATCTTTAAAGTATCACTTTTTACACGGTTTTGTGGCAAAAGTGTAAAAGTGGTACTTTAATCACGGTCGTGGCTAAAATAAAACTAAAGTACTTTAGTCACGGGGCTTATACAAGCCCTAAACATGGAAATAAAGTGGAAGTAGAAAAAATAACGTATACTAATCGTTGTTAAAGTGCCACTTAACGCACTTGATAAATAATCTACCATTAATCACTGTTTTTCTTATAGTTTCAGAAGATGAAACAATAGATTACAAAAAACTACTTGAAATGGAAACCTCCACATCTTCCTCAGCGCCATCTTCATGCATAACAATCAATCTACCAACGATCGTTCGTGAAAACAGCGCTGTGCACCGCCACAGTCCATTCACATACTCCGATAAAGAACTATCAGCTTATTTAAAGACATCTCCAACATCCACACCAACCGAATCATCATCATCATCTACATCATCAGGAATAGATAATTATCAAATTGAACACCTAATCCAACTCAAACTAAAACCAATCGTGATCGATACAACACAGAAAATCGTCAATGAAGAGTTCAAAACAATGGTGCTCAAACCATTATACATCGACGAAGCAGTGAATCGCAATCGCGTGAATAACAAACAACACACAACCAAATTCGCGGGGAGTTTATACCGGAATAATCTGCATAGTGTTGCTTGTTTGATAGCTACACAACAAGAGGGATTCATGTATCAGTTTATTGATGCTGGAGGCCATCAAGTTGTGGATAACTGTATAACGGTTTATCCATTCACAGCGCCTGTGTTTAAAGTCGTGCTGGAGGATCATTTCCTGCATGCGTTGACTGAGACTGGGTTGGAGAGCTATACACTGAGGTTAACGCATAGGTTATGTCAGAGTTTACAGAATGACAATGTAAGTTAGGTTAAAATCTTTAATTTAAACGTATTACGCGTAGTTTTAGGTTAGAATTTATCTAATATTTGTGTTTTTTATGCCTAGAACTTAAAATGAGTTGATTTTAGTGATTAGATTAATAATTTTAATGAAAAAAAGGTAGAAAATGCTAATAGTGCACTGTAGCGCCATCTAGGGTTCAATTATTCAACTACAACTAGTTTTACCAAGTTAAATAGCTAATAATACTATATTTATGTTTCAGACATGTCCGCCTGTTCATGAATCAGTCTGCCTGGTTGGTCTACGCCCATTCATCGGCATAGAACAACTTTTACTAAGCAATAACCATCTAGTTCTCTTAGCAAACGCAGAAACTTCACCAACGCATTCATGCAACTCCAGCAACAGTTCATCATCCACATCAACATGGACTCTATACTCTCTAGAACTACCCGCGCCGAAAACAATCTTCAATGACATCGCAATAGTTGCAAGTTCACATCGCTTAACCTCCGCAGCGACTTACTGCCATCTCATGTCCGAAGCACACATGATTCTACGCGCTACACTTGTATTATACAAATGGACCGTGGATGAATCAAGCACAAAACGTGTAAAACCACTGCGTAACGATGCAAGTATCATAGATTCAATCGAAGTGTACAAACAAAGTTGTGCGCTACTCGCTGATCATTACATCATGTCACGTGACGAGAAAGATTTCAAAATGGCGCCGGCGTATTACAAATTCGCTGGGCTACAAGTCTACGATGTGATTAAGAGGGTAAAACGCTTGCAGGAACAAGCGAATGTGAAAAACATGCAAGGCATGATTTATTATCTGAAAGCCGTGTTGATTCCGGCTGCAAATCAGCCGAATTTGAGCGTTTTCAACACCGACGGGCATGGAAACAGAGCGAAGTTATCCGAAGCTGTGTTGTGTTTATTCGAACAACATGATTACGATGAGCTACCGATGTTGATACTCAAAGTTCCTCTGTTGAGAGAGTATGGAACTGATAATTTGATCGCTATTTTGTCGAATCACACGCTACCTGTGAGCGACGAACGAAAACTCGCGTTGGTTGTGTTGCATATCTTGAAAGGCAGCGGGAATGACGCGAAGAGATATCTCGACGATATCGAAACAAATGAATTGAGTAGATTGTTACTAACAAATTGGGAGTTGATGTTTGAACAGTTAGGCGTTAAAGGCAACCCTTCTTTCTCGGAATTTGCTACGTTGTTAACCACACAGCGTAGTGAGTTAATATCCGCGACTTTTGCGTGTTTAATCGAAAAGAAAACGATTTCCCTTGGGAAATTACTAAAAATTTTCTTGGATCACATGCCGAGTAGTTCGGACGCATCGCATTACGGTCAAGTTTTACAAAATCTACTCGAACATCATTTTCGGTATTATTTCTCGAAGCATGATGCCACGCAGGTTGTCTACGATCGCAGCACGCATGAAGCAATGAAATTATTAGTGCGTTCGTATTTAAGTCAACTACAATATTTAAGTTTGCATAATTTACCAGCGAATAGTAATAATCAACGTGATGATTCCACAAAAGATAAAACTAAAGATGATTTGCATTTGTTTTCGAATAAGCGGCATGAGTATCTCAACAAAATGGCGCCGTTTGCTGTTGTGGTGACACCTGACGGTGAAAAACATAAAAATGGAAAGAATGACAAGGCTGATAGCTTACTGAAGAAGTTACAGGCGTTATTGTGTAGTCGCACTGTACCTAATCAAGTCCTGATGGAGATTAACACGTTTCTGGGCTTGAATGAGAAACTACGTGGGAGGTTAAGTCTGCAGATTTGTATTATGAGTGTTAATGACGCCATCTTGATTCTGGCGAATGAATGCCCGCAGTGTTTACTGCAATATGCTAGGGATGTGTTTTGTAAGCCGGATGAGTGGAAAATGCTTATCGCTACGATACAGCATAAAGTTTTGAGTGTTTCGCATGTGGATGCGCAGAATCGCGCTTGTGTTTATTATAAAAAGCTTCTAAAAGGTAAATTTTAATGTTTTTATTTGTTTTTATCTAGAAATATGTTAATAATGTTTTATATTTGCAGATATTTTAACGCATGTGGCTATGACAATGAATCTAGAGAGTTTGATCAATGTTTTCCCTCAACATATGGATTATTCAACAAGTTATATACTTGAAAGTGACGATGGTATACCAAAAGCATCTTCTGGTCTTGAAATGGGTGATAATGATGTGGAAGGGGAGAATGTGGATATACTGAATGAGATTCAGAATTATGATCCGTATATCACGTTGTGTAAGGAGACTATGCATGCCAATCAGATTAAGAAGCTGATTACGGCCACCGGGCAGCAGTTGCTGTGCACGCTGAATTTGTAATTGTAATTGTAATAGGCACATATGTGGAAACTACTGACTCTGATTGTGATATTCGTTTCTTTTTATATTTATAGAAATTTTAACGCTTGTGCAAATATAATACTATACTTAGGTTAAGTACGATACAAATAAGAGGAGCGCTTTTTATTGATGTAATGATTATGATAAATATGATTAAAGAAATAAAGAGAATGAATATGTAGGTATTTGAATGTTGTTTGGGCTTGACAGGTCTCAGCCACCAAACTTCTCTAAGGTCTCTAAGGGAAGTTTGGTGCCCAACCCCCGCGACGTGGACGCGCCTGTCAAGAGTTAAGGGGGCGAAGATGAAAGATAATGTTACTTCCAGTCACTTAAACTAATAAAATTGCACAGGCGTGTACTTCATTATCTTTTACCTTTTACAATTTTTACAGATTTCTTTTCATTACAATTATGTACTAGTACCTAATAACAGGTAGATGGTAGGGATGTGTGTATTATTTATATTCGCACACTTTTGATTCTTTTGAGGTGGTAGGGATCTCATTCACTCATTTAGGATAAACAAATGTTTTACATGACAATTAGAAATAAGAAATAATGTTGTAATGCTGAAAGAAAGGCTGAAAGAGAGCTGAAAGAAATGTGATTAGATACTAACTACTATTGTATTTTATTCTAAAGATAACTTGGCAGTCTGTTCGTATTTAAGTGAAGCAAATAATGAACACCTCGCCAAGTTATCCAACTACTCTAGAAGAAAGAAAGATTACTGCTATTGATGACATCTAACTGGAGGTAGAAGAGTGCAGCTGTAGCTGAAAGGCAAGTGAGACATTAGTGCAGGAAAGGAAAGGGCCTAACAACGATAACGCACGCGGAATTAATTCGCGGGGACTTCTGAAAGCGGAAAATGATTAGTAGCTAAACACACATTCACACAGGAAGAGAGAGAGACAGTGCCCTACCTAATCACATACTTAGCTAGATCATCACAAACCGATTCATGTTGATCGCGTGGGGGAAATCGCGACGCGTTTGCGATCTGTGATGAGAGTGGCATAACGGGAATGCCCGGTAAATACACAAATATAAAAACAACCCGAAGAGGCACACAGCAATAAACACACATCATTCACACAATCATACTACGAAGAGACGGACCCGATTATTAATACAGCTCAGAATCATCAAATTAAATGTGAAAATTAGAACATAACATTCAAATTAATCATAAAATTAAATAGAAAATTAAATTAGATGTGAAATTGATGTGAATTGACTCCAAGCTAACAATAACGACCGAACGCGGATGACGCGATGCTGAAACGTGTGATACTTTGAGTTAACAACTGATTCCCAATTACATTCAAGCAGTTAAGTTATCAAAATGAAAGAAACATGAAAATTGATACCAAAAGTTTGACTACATGTTCTGGTTTTTGTTTTTAGATTCTATTAAACGAATTATTTATTCTTATTTGTCGCGACTATAGCAAATGTTTACTATAAGTGAAGAAAGGCAAGTTAAGTTAAAGTATCACATGTATATAAATAGAAAGAAATTGCAAAGGGGAAACGAATGCATGCCGCGATAGGGATGCCCAAATTGTCAATAGAAAGCAGAATTGTGCATCCGGACAAAGGGAAATGTCCAGATGGGACTAAAGGGCGCATACAGATACAAGACAACCAGTTTGGTGTCAGGTGTACTCACTACTTAACATCAGGCGATCTAATTATGCTGGGTGGATTAGCCCATAACCAAGGTCATAGCAATCAGTGGAATTCCCCTTGGGCTGACACACGAGCAGCAATTGTACTGGCACGTGAAGCAGTCAGGGGCACTCATTGCCACCCTCCGATTAGGGGCATCACCACACCTACCTTCAATCCGGCTCCATGAAACAGGGATCATTCGTCTTGTTTCACTGGAGGATGCGTCGAGTACTCCCCCGTTGTCCAACGCTGGTAGGAAGCTAGAGGAGGTCCAACGATGCCCCTCTCATCATGGATGGATGGATTCCATTCGCGCACTCGGTTTACTCCCGCACTTTCGGTTACTATTCGCGGCACGCACTCGGATGTTATACGAATACTTTACTACTTTTAATGATCGCGACCCGAGTTCACATCCGATCTGAAAAGGAAGCAGAGAGACCAATTAGTATTAGTGTTTAATTGTTTTACTTACGAATCACTTTGTTGATCATTTCACTCCTTGTCACTTCCCTACTTTCACCACAAGAACAACTTGTGCAGAAATATGTTAATAAACACACAGAAACCGAAAAACATCAAGATTATTTCCCGATTAGTGGCCTACAGTTAGGTTGCATCTCAATGTATGAATCTAAAACAAACCATAAATCCATTAGGACTTGAGACTTAATAGGAAATACTTAGAGTCATCTTTCGGAATCTCCATTGTGGAAGTGTGCATTCATGTTATTCGTCGTCAGCTGTTCCAATGACTAAACTTGTTCATCGTATCATCCCGTTGTGAGGAGGAGCAACAAACAACAGGTAGCAGTAGTACGCCTCTATCAACCGGCACGACCCTCTCTGTAGGGGTGCACAATAAGGGTTGAAATGCCATCCAGCCAATGGGGTGTTTCTGTGTCGTGTAGTGGTGGTGGAATATTTGTCACGTTGAAAACTTGCATTAGAAAAGTAATAATTTGGTATTAGTATTGTGTTTCTTATTTGTTTTGCAACATTGTATCATGCAGGTACTTTTGTTCTGTCTACAAATACCCTATGTCTGAAATATTACGGTCAAGGTTTCCTGCAACTTTCTATTTCTCAATCTGTGCAAAAAACAGGCCATTGAGCCAGCTGCAACCCCAGACTACTGTTACCTCTGCATGGTCAGGGTTGAGTGAGCATGCAGGGCAGACATAATAAACCTGTTATTCCTACTTGAAAATCTGCGTTTAATATTGATACTACTACCAAAATACCTACATTCTAATTAAGCAATGAAATAGTTTGATATCATAAAAATAAGCCAAGATGCGACCTGCACAACGTGGCAGCTGCTAACGACGTAATTGAATTTTCGAAAATACGTAAACTCCCGCAATAAAATCGCAAAAATATTATGATACACTCACCGTTCACTGCTTTCCACGTTGATTTGACACAATTCCAGCCCATTCCAATAGAATTTAACTCAGATGCAATTGGATTTTGAAAAAACAGCAAGCACACGTCTTATCAGCACAAAGAACAACTGCACAATATGGCTGACTTGGTTGCACAACTTACACGGCTCAACACGGCAAGCGCACAGGTACGATGCATGGCGGTTCAGCCAACGGCCGGCACGCAACATGAAAAACACAAGATAACGCGACTAATCTCAAAATATCGCCAAAATAACTATGACTTCTTACCTGCCGTGCTCTTCCTCGTCGATTTCTGTATTTTTCAGTATTCACCACTTGATTTATATTCTGATGCAATAATATTTCTGCGTAGCAAACAGTAACACTTGTAGACTCGATAACGGTCGGCACAGGAAAAGGACATCTTGTACGCCGGCGTCATCCTAGTGCAAAACGCAAAGTAGTGACTTTAGTGTTTTTTAGTTTTGCAGACACACACTGCTGCAGTGATGCCGAAATTACACGAATGCATCACCGATTTAATCAAGCGTAGATTCTGTTTGAATGATGATTGAGACCGATATCCGTATTCTTGTTTTAAAATGCGATTAATCGAATTTATATGATTGTGTATGCCACGACTGATGAAAGTATTTAGTATCTGCGCACGACGTGCACCCGACGACGAACGGATACCGACTGATTCCCGCCAGTTACTCGGGTTCGTTGGCGAAAATCTAAAGTGTGAAGCACGTCTAAAATGCAGACACACATGCAAACACTTCGTGTGCGTGAGAATGCACGACTTTCAACACTGGTGGCGCTATTAGGTGCCAGATGAATCAAGCACTTTATAAAAAACAAAGAAAAAGAAATTAAATATAAAATAAATATAAAATAATATTTGCTTGTTATTTTTAATAAATAACCAAGAATATAAAACAAAAAAGTAGCAATATCGAGCTTGATTTTCTGGAATATTTCCGTTTGCTTAAGGCGGTCCGTTGAAATATTTATTGGTGGAGACCGTGCCGTGCGGCTGAAATTTGCTGCCTGGCGCGGTCCGCCTCTACCAGTCGCAACGAAACCAATCTGAATAGGCAACACCATTCGCTGACTTCACACACAGCGTAGCAAGCGACAGAACCAAATATACCCATGCACATAAGTCTAAACCTTCACAAATGAATGCAAGTGTTTGCATCAGCACACTAACTGGTGTGAATAATGTCTGCATTGATTTACTATTGCACTAAATTGTATTTAACTTGCTAATTTTTGTTACACACTAAGATTGGAAAAGTTTTTATTTAAAAACTTTGTATTTCAAAGTTTAAAACATTTTGTTTAAAACATTATTTTGTTAAGTTTGTTTCGAAATAACTCCGCATAATGTCTGCAATTCAAAATCTTCTCAACTTTATTCACTAACTATTCCTACAATGCAATATCATCTCTAGATTTCTACTTCTCCCCTTCTTCACTCCCAGCTCTCTGCCGTGTTTTATGCTCGACTCCACTCTGGTCTGTCTTTTCTCGCACTCCCTGATCATCCTTCTCCCTTTACTCGCATCGCTTGCTTTGCTTGCTACATATCCTCGTTCATAGCTTGTGTCGTGCTGACACCCTTTGCCTGCTACATATTCTCGGTATCCGCTGTATTACAACCAGCGCAACCTAGCACACGCGGCCGGCCGTACATCTCGCACCGAAATCAAACTTCGCACAACCAATGCCAAAGCTTCGTACCAGCGCAGTCCACTAAGCACTGCGTGCCGTGCGAACGACACCATGGGCAATTAAATATCGGCGTCATCACAAAAGCACGACTCATCCGCGTACACACAAACTTTCTTTTAATTAAATTATTTCTTTTTAATTTTCTTTTTAAGACATTCTTTTAAAAAACTTTATTTTATAAAACTTTCTTTTATAAAACTTTATTTTATAAAATTTTCTTTTATTAAAGTTTATTTTATAAAACTTTATTTTACAAAACTTTATTTTATCAAATTTTCTTTTATAAAAGTTTATTTTATAAAACTTTATTTAATCAAACTTCATTTTATAAAGCTTTCTTTTGTAAAAGTTGCTTTTATAAAAC